TTTGGATGGTGAAACTAACACCTGGTCTCTGAATCCCCTTCATAGCAATTTCATGCAGTCATTGTTCAGTGTCTGAAAATTTCCTGGAATGAGGCCCTTACTACATCAAAAAGGTAGTAATGTAATGACATACCAACATTAGATATGCTGACTTAAATGACATACTGACATTTGATATCTCTGGTCTAGTGTCACCTTTTAAAACACACAGAGCAATTCCACTCCTTCACTGGATCTTGAAAAGAAGGAACCAGGAAGGCTAACTACTGCCTATGGCAGGAACCCCCTCCATGTGATCCTCAGCAGCTAGTCCTTTGCTGACACTCTCAGAGGTGAAATGGATGTTGTGAAGTGGTTAATTTCGTAACTGAAAGCACTAGTGGTTAGGAAGTTTTGCCTTTTATAGAGCTTAACTTCTAGTTACTTCTAGAAGTTAACTTCTAGTTACTAACCTCCTGTAACTTCTAGTTCTGACTTTGGAGCAAAATCAGTTTGCTAAGAAGCAGACAGATTTGCACTTGATTTCTGGCTCCTTGGAGAAGTTACTTCAGCTCTCTGAGACTGGAGAATGGGGATAGTAATAGCACCAAATACACAGGCCTATTCAGGATTAAAACAGATAGGTATGTCAAACACTTAGCATAAGGCATATAATAGGCACTCTGAAGTAATAAATGGCTACTCTGGTCATTTCTTCCTCCTGATGGAAAAGGATGATGGTAGAATGGATATGCTGAGTCCCTGTTATATTCGAGTAATAATCTGAACCATGTGTTCCAGTTAGACTTGCTGGTTCTTCACGATAAAGTCAATTGATTTACCTGAATAGAAATTAAGGGGGTGTAGTGGGGTAAGGGAGACAAATAGGAAAGATCAGCAAGTTGTTTCCAATCTTCCCCCAGAGAGATGTGATCCACTCCCATGACTGCTAGTGGGTCATGTGAGCAATGGATTCAGTGATTTTCCCCTGGGGTGAGGAGATGCTCTAAGAGGTCTGTAGTTTGCAAAAGCTCCTTAATCCCAGAGAAGTTCTGAGAGCCCCCTTGAAAGAGATGTTATTCCTTCTTCCCAGCTCCCAATCTTGAGAATCACTGAAACGGACACTGGGAACCTCCTTGCCTTCTTGACAACTCAATCAAGACAAGAGAAATTATATAGCAACAGGGCAAGGCAGTGAGTCTAAGGGTGGCCCGAGGACCAGTGGGTCATTTCCAGGGAACACATTAGACATGTGAATTATTGAGACCCATCTAGGCCTATAGCAATCTGCATTTGAACAAGCCTTCCAAGTAATTCTGACGTATGCTAAAGTTTGCATATCAGTGGGTTCTGAAAGAGGAGAGAGATACAGGAGCTGAACCATCTCTCCATCTAGCAATCGAGGTTTTCCCTACCGTGCTTTTGTTTTCAGGTTGTAGCCTCCAGGCCTAAAGCCCTTCTGGTGTTCTGGGTGGATGACTTGTTAGGAATATTGAGTTCTACCCGCAATATTTCTACTCTCACAGTGTATAAGAGTCACTGGCCAACTGTGCTGGCTCCTTAGGCCAGCTGAGAACTGGCTTCGTTCCTCTTACCCAAGACTTGTATGAACTTATTGTTTTCTTCTTTAGACTAAGGAATGTTCTAGCCTCTTTCCAACATCTATTAATAGAAATTATCCTTGACTATTTTGATGATGTTGCTGTTATGGGTCAAATATGGAGTCACAACACTTAACTTAGTTTGAAAATAATTAACTTATTTCATCCTATCTTGTATTACAGTTTATTTTTCCACTTTTGGTTCAGCCCAACAGACATTAACTGACCACCTATTAAATACCACATACTATGCTAAATGAATGAAACAGTCTTTGTCCTTGTACTGTGTTCAATGCATTCTGAAGATATCATCTTTAATTCTTACACTATTACAAGAAAGGTACTGTGTTCCCCCTTTAGCAGATGAGAAATTTGAGACTCAGAGCCCAAATCTATAACGAAAGTGACAGAGCTATGATTTAAATCTATGTTAATCTAGCTCCAAAGCTCACACCCATTCTACAACAGTGAATTTATTCTGAGGGCATATATGAGCAGAATAATATTAAAAGCTTCTAATCTGTATAATTCATATGTTAAATATTAAGGATGTACTAAAAAATAATCATTCTGGGACATGTCTTTTTGGATGGTTTTGAGGACAGAAACCAATGACACCTAGCAAGGCGTTTTTTGCATATAGTAGACTTTGAGTAATATTTGTTTAATAATATATAATATTAATATATAATCAGGTTGACAGACTGATAATATGGTCAACTAAATATCAAGAAATAGTCCATTTTCATAGAGTGTTGGGGAAAAGCACCCCTCATCTTACGAGAAGAAATATAAAATTTGCTGATAAAAGAACAAGGAAGAGAGCCTACTTGGATGGAGGAAAAGGTATTGAGTAGGTACATCCCAGATTTAGATTCTAATTTAAAAGGTTTTGAAGTAGTTTATTGCTCTTTTCTGTACTTACATACTTCAACTAAAAAGTTACAAAGAATGATAACTGAATTTCTGAATGTGAGTGGGCATTGGACCAGGTGAAACTATTTTTATTGGAATACACAGTCTTTACTATCTTGATAATAATCACAGATGTTATACCTCCATAAAGGATTGACAACCAGTTTCAAGCATTGTTAATTCTAAACAGTAATTCAGTTGGATAACGAGAAAAGAAAAAGATAGTAGTAAGTACCACCTAGTGGCCATCCAGTGGTGTAACAATGTCATCAGCCTGTGTCATTAGGGAAAGTTCAGTTCACTATTCATCAGTTCTGTATGATGGGCTCTTAGCAGATGGAAGTTTGATTTCCAGCCCATTTCCCAGATCCAGAAAAGCTGAGTCTGAGACTTCCATATGCTAAGAACAGGTAATCACAGATTTGAGTTAGAGAGAAGTAAAGTTGTGGAGAAATGTGAAGTAAAGGTATCTCCCCTAAAGAAGTATGATGTTGCTTGTGTCTGATCTGCACACATTTATCAGCCCCTCTTTCCTCCAAGACTATGAATGAGCTCCAGTCCACCCCAAGCCATTTCCTTTCCAGATGGGGTGGTGGGAGAAAATATGACCCAAGATTTAAAAAGGAAAATTCTTACAGGGAATTGCTCACAAAAAGTTGACTGATCTTACTTAAAATTTTTTGATGTAATTAAAAGCTTACAGAAAAGTTGCAAGAATAATACAAATAATTCTTATACACACTTCAGATTTCCCAAATATGAACATTTTACTATGCTTGCTTTTCCTTTATTCCTTTATTATTTTCTTTCTCTCTCTACACACACATACACACAATTATTTGAGAGTAAATTTCAGACATAATGCCCTGTTACTCACAAATAATGTGCATTTTCTAAAAAGAAGGATTTAAAAACTACTTAAAAAAATCTCTTATCAAAGTCAGAAAATTATAATTGATACACTACTATCATCTAATGAACAGATCTTATTATAATTTCATAAATTATTCCATGAATAGCCTTTATACAAAAGAAAAAATTATGGTCCAGGATATAATCCTAACTAAATGTATCTATTGCATTTAGTTTTCCTGTTGCTGTAGTCTCTTTTAATTAGAACAATACTTTAATCTTTGTCATGACCTGGCTAAACAATTATTAGCAAAATAAATCATAATATTAAAAAACTATAAACTATAGAGAAAATAAGAATTCATGAGTTCATACTGATATACCTAAATGAGGAAGAAGGGAAAGCTTTTCTTGAGAAGAATGCCAACTACTAAATACAGTAGGAATGATGGAATGAGAAAACCACAACTCAATAACCATAATAGTAATAATCAGGCAAAAATCATCAATGGATGCTAAAACTAGTAGGTGAAAAGACTGATGACTAACAGGATATTTACATAGTTCAAAGTATCTTCCCACACATATTAATTACAAAGAGAAAAATAATAATTTGCCATTGAAGAAAGCTGGGAAGACACCTCCTAACAAGAGGTCAAAGTTACCATCACCAGTAATGATACACTGGACAATATGTGCCTCCTGATATCATGCATTGAGAAGGACACAATGTCACTTCTTTGGTATCCCTCACCAAAATGCATAGCCTAAATTTATCTATCTATCTATCTATCTATCTATCTATCTATCTATCTATCTATCTATCTATCTATCATCTATCTATATTAAAGTATCATTGATGTAAGAGGCTGAATTTAAACACAAGGAAACATCAAACCAGTCTAAACTGAGGGACAATCTATAAAATAAATTGCTTATATGCTTTTCTGCCTTTCAACTGGAAAACTTACAGCTTCCCTTGACAGCTTTCCTTTAGACTAGGTATGTGTGTTAGGGTGGTTGAGAGAGAACTAGTTCTTCAGTGCAAAGGCCAGGTGTCTCTTGATTTGGGGATGCTCTGACTCTCTGTCTCAGGAGACAGCTGTGCCCATCACAATGCTTCAGAGCCAGAGATGCCATACTCACCTCCTACTCCCAAGGCTGAAGAGTAACTAACTCCAGGGCCCAGGAGGCCACATCTCCATTGTAGGGTGTTTGGTCAGTACCTTGGAATATTCTACAATTTGGGAGCACTTTCTCAAGGGCATAAATATAGGACAAATAAAATGAAGCATTACCTGATGCAGAAGGTGGATATTTCTTGGCTTTGGGTAGTAAGAACTGGGAAGTAAGCTGGTTAAGGAAGAGAAAACTGAATTTTCAGAAGGACAATGTCAAGAAACAATTTCTGAATGGAGTTCAGTCTTTTGGAGTTGCATCGGGAGAAGAGAAGAACTTATAGCCTCAACTCTTCCCTAATGCATTCCCTGCTTTTCCTAGTGACACCATCAGCCTCACTAGCCAAGTCTAGGGGGCAGGTCTAATGGGCTCCCATCTAGGCAGCATCTCTAGCCCTAGGGCAGTGGGCTTTCCTGTCTCCTCTGGAGAATGTACATGGGAACAGTGAGCAGGACACAGCCTCTTGGTTTCTAGTGACCTATGGAATGACAAGCTCCTGTGCCTATTACTATGCCAAAGTGATGTCTTAGCTCTTCTTACACACTCCATCAGACACTGGAGTCTCCTTCCAGGCCATCAGCAGCATGGTGGACTTCTGGGATGTGAGTATGAGATCTCCTCTACCCCTTCCCTCTCTTTCTCAATGGCCTGAAGCCTGAGGCCTTAGGGATATCAGAAAGTAGGTCAGGCCATATCCAGATACCAGATCATTCTAGGATCAGACTGAGTCAAACGGCCAGGTGAGAATGAATGGGCTATACTAGGGTTCAGGTGGAAGTAGGTGGGAGACAAGGATGATAATCAGGGAATCAAGCCAGCAGTTAGAGTAATATTGGGAGTCAGAGGTAATGCTGAACTTCAAAATGCATTTTAAATGAAGAGTATATTAGAGTCATATTAGGTCAAAATGTGGTCTAGGTTCATGGGTCAGCTGAGGAGTCCAGAAGCAGACTGGAGAAAAGCTGGGGGAATCAGGGAGTAAGGACAGAGGTCACTCTAAGGGTAGGGGTCAGGATGAGGCTGGGTCAGGTCCAACCTAGCTTGTGTTCTCTCTAGTTTGCCCAGGGCCCACTACTGGACCAAATGGTACAACAACCAGAGCCTGGGCCGAGGCTCCCACTCCTTCATCTACTATGACAATCTGCTGCTGGGGGCTCCAAGGCTGTGGCAGCTGAGGGTCCGCAATGACTCCTGTGTGGTACATGAGGACTTCCGTGAGGACATTTTGAGCTGCTACAATGTCTACTCTCCCAACAAGGAGGAGCAGCTCCCTTTCGGGACCCTCAAAGGCACAGTGTGAGTGAGTCCCCCCACTGATATTGCCAGCCTTGCCCCTCTGACCCTGACACTATCCCAAGATTTGAGAATAACTTCTGCTGAGCCTTAAATCACTTTGGAGGCACTTGGGGGACCTGTGGGGCTTCTGTCTGGGTCCTATTGTGATTATTTGGAGACCTTGGTCTGGGTCACTCAGGAACAGAGAAGATATATGAGCAGACAGAGCCATAGCCTCTGGATTTGTTTCCCCACATAGGTCACATCATATTTGCCCTACTCTGGAGACAGTCCTCCTAGAGAGAGCATCTTTTCTTGCACAGAGTCCCTCAGGGGTGTGGAGAATGGACGGAGGATCGGTGCTGCCACATAAGCCATGGTTGGGAGAGTCAGACACTTGGAACTTGTAGAAGCAGCAGCAAGGGGTTGAGGAAGGATGAGAAATTAGGGAAGAAAGGGAAAAGGTGGATAGGACAGGAAAGAAGGGGAAGGAAATAAAGGTCCAGAGAGGAAAGTTGGGGGACAGAACAGAGAATCATGGGGTTAAGCCACTAAGTCCACAGCACAAGAGCAGAAAGGTCTGTTCTGGATTGACTACTAGGCTGGGGTCAAACATGGGCATGGGTTTGTCATTCATAGTCTTGGGGATCGTTGTGAAAAACTAGGTTTACACTTAAGCTCAGCCACTAACTAGCTGGTTATCTCAGACATCTGAATCTTAGTTTCTTCATCTACAAAATGTAGATAATATTTACCCACCCTTCTCAAACAGTTGTTGGTATCAAACAAGACAGTAAATGTGAAATACATATTATCTGTGATATACATGATATATGTGAAACTGTAAAGCCCAGACAATCATAGTGTTGCCATTGCCTTGGGAGATCAGCTTTTGGGCTGACTCAGACCTTTCTGTTTGGATGGTTCTTCTGTGACAGGTGGACATACCACTCACAGGACGAGCTGCGAGGTTCCTCTCTCTGGGGCCAGCTCACAAGCTACAGTGGAGCTGGCTACTACCTGGACCTTCCAGGATCCTGACAGGCCAGTGCGGAGGCATTCCAGGACTTTCAGGAGGGCCTGTGGCTAGACACGGGCACCCAGGTGGTCTTCATAGATTTCTCAGTCTACAATGCCAGCATCAATCTTTTCTGTGTTCTGAGGTGGGTCCCCTTTCCCTACCTTCCTCCATCCATGGTTTCTGGTTCCCTTCTCCTCCATTAAACATGTACCCTTCCTTAAACATGTACCCAAACGTGTACCCTTTGGTGGGGGGTGGGAAAAGGAGGGGATGGGAGGAAGTGTCCCAGCCCAGGCCCCACCAGACATCTCCCCCTCCTTCCACAGACTGGTGGTGGAGTTTCCAGCTACAGGAGGTGTCATCCCATCCTGGCAAATACGAACAGTGAAGCTGATCCACTATGTCAGCAACTGGGACTTCTTTATCATTGGCTGTGAGATCATCTTCTGTGTCTTCATCTTCTACTACATGGTAGAGGAGGTCTTGGAGCTCCACATCCACCGGCTTCATTACCTCAGCAGCATCTGGAACATTCTGGATCTGGTGGTCATCTTGGTGAGGAACAGATATCTTAGAGTTGGGACATATTGGGAGGAGGAGGGGATCCACCCTGATAGGGGCTCCAAAAGTTCTTCCTGGTCAAAGCTGACGTCTGGTCAAACCAACAGCTCCCTAAGCCAGAGGCTGATGTTCCTCTGGCTCAGCCCTGGGAAACCTGTCTCCCACATTCCCTCTTTCTCTGACTCGGGATGCAGGCCCCACTCTTTTCTTTATATATGATACTCTGTTCCTCTTCTGCCTCTTGCCTTTATGACCTGCCCCTCCTGCCTTTTCTCTTTTCTTCTATTAAAATATTTTGCCTTTTCGCCTTCATCTCCTTCCTATTAACATGATACATAAATTTCCTGACCAAGGCTGGGGAGTGGTGGGAGAAATAAAATGACTTGACTCCAGTTCTCCATGGTCCTGTACAACCTACCTATTTATTGCTGGCCCCAAAGCCTTTTCTTGAGCTATAAGATGTTCCCCAATTAACCTATCCAGTTCCTATGTGAGCCAGAGATGATCAACAACTTAGCGAGGAAGAATAGTTTTCCCACACCTGCCTTACTTATTTTATTCCTGCTCTCCCCTGGGACCTTATCTTTGAACTTCCCTTGAGACCCTCTTGACTTCTCTGACACCCCCAACCCCTGTGGTGACAGCTCTCTGTTGTGGCTGTGGGCTTCCACATATCCTGAACCCTTGAGGTGAACCGACTGATGGGGAAGCTCCTGCAGCAGCCAAACGCATATGCTGACTTCAAGTTCCTTGCCTTCTGTCAGACACAGTACAACAACATGAATGCTGTCAACCTGTTCTTTGCCTGGATCAAGGTACCCTGGGACTCCTCACCCCAGCAGTGCCTCAGGGCACTCACTCTCCCTTCCTCAGTGCTCCTCTCATTTTCCTTGTTTGGTTTGGCAACTCTTGTGGCCTCCACAGGCCCCTGGAGTGCACTATTCAATGCTTTTCTTTTTTCTTCCTTCATCACTTGTCCAACATGGCCTTCCAGGTATTTAAGTACATCAGCTTCAACAAAACTATGACTCAGCTCTCCTCCACGCTGGCCCGCTGTGCCAAGGACATCCTGGGCTTTGCCGTCATGTTCTTCATAGTATTTTTCGCCTATGCCCAACTTGGCTACCTGCTTTTCGGGACCCAAGTGGAAAACTTCAGCGCTTTCATCAAGTGCATGTGTGTGTTTTGCCCCTTTCCCTCCTCCTCGGCGACCAGCTCCATGTGTGTGCGTATCCTCGGGGAAGCTGGCTAGCTGTGTGTGGGCATGTCTGCGCTTAAAGCATCTGTGTGAGAGTCTCCGGAAGTCCTGGTGTGTGTGCTTAAGTATCCATGCACCTCACTCTGTCTCTATCAGACTGGGTTGGAAGAGCAGTGAGGGGTCCGAGCTCACTGAAGGACGGTAGTTAGGAAAGTGGCTTGGGAGGTGGATTGGAGTCAGCATTATGGTTAGGCTCTGGGTGAAACCCAGACTGGTTTCTTGGTTTCACCCAGTTCCGGATCATCCTTGGGGACTTTGACTACAACGCCATCGACAATGCCAACTGCATCCTGGGACCTGCCTACTTTGTCACCTACATCTTCTTTGTCTTCTTTGTGCTCCTGGTTAGGGTTCCTCGGAGGGGTGGGGTTTCGGGAACCTGAGGGGTAGAGACACGGAGAGCCTGCAGGGTGGGGTTTTGCCCCCCATCATGTTCTACACTCAGGATTATGATAGGTTTCTCAAATCAGGGATAGAGAGTGAGGTGGGGGAGCTTCTGAAAGCTGGCGCATGTGATCAGTTTGGCTAGCACAGTCCGGCAGTTTGCAGAGTATAAGGGAAGCTGCAGAGCCCTCCCCACCGCAGTAAAATCAAACCCCCATCCTTGAAAGATGGAAAAGAACAGAAAATTGCCTCATGTAGAGAGTGCAAGCTTCTACACCTGTTCTCCATGACTCCCCTTTCTCTGGGGATCTCTGGCTCTTTCGACTACTAAGGTAGTATATTTATTCTCTCTCCCTGCGAACCATGAATGATCTGGGTTTGACGTTTACTAACAAATCCATTATGTTTCTTCATTTGATCAAAGGACAGAGATACAGACATGGATTGAGTGGATAGTAAAGAGAACATAATTGTACTCTCAATCATTGATGGGCCCTTATATGGAGGGGATCTGTGGCATATGTTGGGGTATCTTTGTGGTCAGATTACCTCAGTAATTAAGTGAGGATAGCAAGTTGATGAGGGAGCATAATCCATCTCTAACAGGGCTGTACTAGAAGGCTAGGCACTCTGGGTACCCCGATCTTCAGGGGTCAGTGGGCTGCCAAGCTGGGTTGAAAGCACTGACCACTTTAAACATGTGCCTGGGAAATTAGTAGGGTTAGTGGGCTCAATGCCATTAGTGGGTCTGGGAGTGAGGACCCAGGTTCTGCTTTATTCTCCAGAACATGTTCCTGGCCATCATCAATGACACATACTCAGAGGTCAAGGAGGAGTTGGCTGGACAGAAGGATGAGCTGCAACTTTCTGACCTCCTGAAACAGGTGACTACTCAGTCTCCTTGAGCTGCCCATCTGCATCCAGGCCCAGGTCCAAGACTCTGTGTCCCGGTCTGTTTCTGACTAGTGTAGGGGGCCTGAGGCCTGTGCCTTGGACTTATCCCTAGAAGCTGGTATCCTGTGGGTGTGGGAGAAGGCTGGGGAAACTGGTGTCTGTTTTCTTTCCCCTTCTAGGGCTACAACAAAATCCTACAGAGGCTACGTCTGAGGAAGGAGCAGGTTTCAGATGTGCAGAAAGTCCTGCATGGTGGGGAGCAGGAGATCCAGTTCAAGGATTTCACCAACACCTTAAGGGAGTGAGCAACCAGAAATCCAACCTTCTCTGACATTAGTCTGTAAGTCCTTGACCCTAAACCATACATCTTTGCTTATCAACTTCTTATTTTGGCTTAAGGGTTTTTGACCTTGGTTTATGGACCTTTGACCCTAGCCTATAGGTCTCAAATCCTGACCTTTAGAATTGTGCCCTTGGTTTAAAGGTCTCTGGACATGTTCTATAATGTTCTGGACTTGATGAATAACTCTTAGGACTAATGTAATAATATATTTCCTCCCCACTGCATACATCCCTCACAAAACTGATCTTGGTTTGACGTTCTCTCTCAAACAATAGACTATTCTTTCCCTGCTTCCTAGTTAAACATATTAACAAAAACTGAATGACTATATTTCAAGTACCAGCTATGGGCCAGGCACTGAGTAAGCACCAGCTGTGGGCCAGCCTCACAATTAAATGGGGCAAAGTATTTGTACCTCAGAAACTCATAGACATGTAAGCAAATAAACTGAATCACAGTTGGCTAGAAAAATGGGAACATGAAATAATGAGGGTGATTAATTCTATCTTTGAACTTAAGGGAAGGCTTCCTGGAAAGGGTGATGTCTGAGTAGGGTTTTGGAGGATGAATAGCTTATATATGGACAAGCAGAGAAACTGGGAAACCTATACAGGACTAATAAGTATTTGAGCATTGCTAAGGTATCAAATGAAAGGTGGGGTATAGCAGGAGATGAGGCCAGAGAAATGGGCAAGGGTCACATGGGGAAAGCCTCAAATACCACTACTCCATTCAAAGAATAGGGTGCCCAGGAGGGATTTTAAGCAGGGAAAGGGTGTATTTAGACCTACATTTTAGAATGATTAATTACTCTATTTGCATTATGGAAGATGGATTTCAGGGGTAGGGAGTGAAGAGGAAGCAGTGTGGGGGGCACAGGTTATTTAGAGGCAAAGAGACCTTGCAGTAACTCCTATAGAAGAACATGAGGGCCTGGATCAGTTAGCAGGAGTCAGAGGAAGAAGGAAGAGATTCAAGTGATTTCTTGGGTGTAAAACCATGAGACCTTGAATATTCTAGCCTTCCCATGTGTCCCCTTCTTTGCAGAGAGCAAAATTCTTGCCAGAGTGGGGCAAACGAGTGAGAAGTCCATTGTCAAGAGATCACAGCCATGCAGGTCAGAAGTCATTTCATCATCTCATTCTCCTCAGGCTGGGGCACGCAGAGCATGAGATCACTGAGCTCACAGCCACCTTCACCAGGTTTGACCAAGATGGGAATTGCATCCTGGATGAGAAAGTGCAGGAACAAATGCAACAGGACCTGGAGGAGGAAAGGGTGAGCCCATCTGGTTGGTGAAGAGGCAGTGAAGGAAATTGCTCCCCTTCCCCTTCTTGCCAATACATCCAGAACACAAACACAAACTGACAATCTCCAATAGATGGGCAGGAAAGAGCTCTCTAGAAGAGTGGTTCTCAAACTGCTGCACATTAGAATACCCTGTGTGTGGGAGGGCGATGGGGGGCTTTTGAAAATACTCATGCTCTCTGGGATGGGGGTTGGGGAACTCAGACATCAGTACTTTTTAAAAACAGCCCAGGTGATTCCAATGCACAGTCAAGGTTTAAGAACCATTGCTCCAAAACACAGCTTCAGGCGAAAAGAATCAACTGCCCAAGAATCCCTGACAATTCCTTCTGAGGAACAGCACTCTCCTTGGGATTTTCAAACTCTGATCCTCAGCTGCCCAGGCTATACCTGTTTAATCCCTACCCAGTATAGACCAAAAAGTCAAGGGCAGAAGGGAAAGTGCCGGGAAGTCTGGTACTGTCCCCTCCTCTCCCAAACCAAGTTTGGGCTTCTAGTGAGAACCTCATTAACCAAGGCTTCAATGAATTTGTGTTTTGTTTCTTTGGCAGGTGGTTTCCTCCCAGAGGTTGGGCCAGCTTTGTGTCCAGCAGCACCATTCTGATTCTGTTGTCTCAAGAGGGAAGGGGAATAGCAAGAACTAGAGTGCAAGGCCTGGTCCTGAGAGCCCATGACAGCAGATTTTGGGACAGGAGCTGATGGCTTCTCAGGGTCATCTTCTCCTCTCTGACCTCTGACTTTCTGATCAGGTGGCCCTCAACGCTGAGATTAAGAACCTGGGCCGGTCCATTGTGAGTAGCCCATCAGGCGAGTCGGGTCCAGAAGCTGCCAGACCAGGTGGTGGGATTTCAGGAGAAGAATTCTACATGTACGTGAAGCCAGAAGCCCAGGGTTGACTGTGTTAGTAATACTGTACCTGAGCTTCTTTCCAAAACCTTATAATTCTCTGTCCTAACCTAGAAAGAACTTCTGCCCCTCTTTAATTCTCCCTAAATGGCTAGACCTTACCGTTCTGGCTCCCATCCACACACACACCATTCTGTACCCTTGGCCCTATGGACACCTGGCCCTCCAGACACTTATTTCTGCTTCCTCGATCTCTCTCAAATCCTAACACAGGCTCACAAAGAGAGTTCTCCAGCTGGAGACTGTCGTGGAAGGAGTCACATCCAGGTTGATGCTGTGGGCTCCAGGCTGAAGATGCTGGAGAGGAAGGGGCAGCTGGCTTCCTCCGTAGGCAGGGTGCATAGCCCTTCGCCTGGGTCCTCTTGGCTCCCCACAGCTGAACTCTACCATTTTTTCCACTCAGTGGGTAGAGGCAAAACATTTTTGGAAAGAGCCTGTTTTCAGGCTCCTCGGAGCAACATATTCGCAGTAGTTTGTGTATCAGTGAAGGAAATCTGAAGTTGGTTGTTTTGGTCGGAGGGCTAGCTTGGTCTCTGGGAGACCGACCGTCTGGGGTTGGAGAATCAGATCCAGATTTTCCAGATAAAAAGAAAGAGGAGCACAAACTCCTTCAAATGACCTGTCATTTTTTTTTCCAACAGGGGGAACAAGGCATTTGGGGGCACCTGCAGCCAGCCCCAGCTGTGACTCCAGCCATCTGGGGAGCCCAGGGCACACAGGAGAGGGGTCGGGGAGAGATCGTAGAGCATCAGACAGCAGGTTCTTCTCTCACTGCCTCTCCAGAGACCCCCTCAACCCACACCCTCCACCTCTAGGGCAGCAATTCCCACTGCTGCTGCCGCCCAGCCACACACTGTGTCTGGCCTTTGGAGCCAATGTTTCAGTGTGTAGTTGGGCATCATGCTTAGGTTTGTCACTCAGTGTTTCTGGGTGTAGCCATGTAGCTCTGTGTAGCTCTGTGAAACATTTCCCACTGGGCCTCTTGCTCCCTGTGCTGTGAGGATTAAAACAAAAAAATCCCAGAACAAAGAGAATAAAGCAAGATAATGACTTTCCCTAAGCATCTGGATAGCCACGATTTGTGGAAAAGTAGAAATGGAGAGAGTAGCAATACCTACATGTCTTCCTACCTGCCAGTGAATCCTATCCTTTGTGCATCTGGAGATCTGCTGCTGGCATCCATGGGGGTCTTGTCCTCCCCATAGAGTTTCTTTGTGAAAGAGAAGGGGGAAGCCTTAGAGGAGACTTTCTTGTGATTACAATGTTGCCGAGGAGTTGGAGTGTGTCCCCACCCCACCCCCACCCTCAGCAATGAAGACTCAGTGTGGGAACCTGCTCCTAACATTCCACTCATCCATGGGCATGGAGGAGGCTGCAACCCTGGATGGGGATGGAACCTGAGGGAAATCAGGCAAAGAAATGACCTCAGGATTCAGAGATCTTTGGACTGAACTGTGGTGTGCTCTAGCTCTAGTCTTCCATAGGACAATGTGGATTTCCTTGGTGACTATCAATAAAAACCCTTAGGAAAATCAGGACTTTGCATTTGTTTCTGGGATTGTAGTGGGAAGAAGAGAGGCTGGAACTGAGCCATCCTTGTACTTGGGTTGGAAAGCTCATCCACTCTGGGACGTGTAGAGTGGGGACAGTGACACTGTGAAGGGCTGCCCCAAAAGTCCTCAAATAAGTACTTCTGGCTCACAGGAATGGTTTGAAGTGGTGGGTGCTATGACTATGTCATTAGAAAGACTGGAGACAGTGACATAGAGAGACCTGGTCCTCCAGGTGAAGCAAGAGAAAGTGCCCTAACTCTGGGGTGGAAAGTAGCTGGTGTGTGTGTACGTATGCACATGTGTGTGTGTGTGTGTGTGTGTGTGTGTGTGTGTAGTGTAGGGTGTGGGAGGTGAGAGGGTGCAGATGGGAGATAAGCAGGGATAAGACCAAAAACTCCTACACCAAGATTTTGGGTGTATAGGTCTGTGTCCTAAGACCTACTGTATATCCCTTTCCCTTCCCCCGTGACCTTAATCCCTGTCTCATTTTGCACCTTACATTTCTCCCCAGTTGCTTTTTCTCATTCCCTTCACACACCCCTGCGCTGCTCTCTTCTCCATCAAGTATACTCTATACACCTAGGAGACTTGTGAAAACAGCCACATGCAATTAAGATAACCAGAGTGTATCCTCAATCCGAAAAAAGTTACAATTGAAACTTTCCTTAAGAAGGGCTGTACCAACCGAAGAAGAGAAATAGGTGCCAGCCTGCAGTTTAAGGGGCCAATGAGTTGATGTTAATCCAGGATGATTGGAAGGGAGGCTCAACATTCAGGCATCAATGCCTGAAAGTTTCCCAAAGCCTAGATGAGACCACTTTAAAAGCATGGAATGGATATCCAGAGCAGTCTCTGGCGACTAATATCAGCGTAGGTGCAGAGTCTCCGGGAAGACGGGTAACCTGTGTCGGGTGACTTTGGTCAGGTGACTGAGCAGGGCACCCCAGCTCCACCAAACCCAGAGAGGACGTGGGTCTTTGCAATGACTCCTCCAAGGAGCAGCCGCACCGATGACCGCAGCGTCAGCTCCAGACGTGGGGACTCTTGGCAGCAGATATCTTAGCTTCAATTTCGGCTTCTTGCTTACACTTTGTTATTACTCATTCTGTGCGGCAGGATTTACACGTGAGCTGGGATTTCGCCGGACCGTGAACCTAGGGCTGGGAGGGCGGTGTGCGCCCGGCGCGCATGCGCTACCATCCCAGAACCGGAAGTGGCGCGGGGCCGGGCATGGCGGCGGCGGCGGCGGCCGAGGACGTCCAGGCCACCCACCCGGAGGAGCCGGTTCGAGGTATGTGGAGTGGATGGGGATGTAGGGTCCAACAGGCTCCGGTAGGGGCCCGGTATGCCGGGGCTCACCTGGCAGGAGCCGGCAGGTCGGAGGGGCGACCTGTGTGGCGCGAGTGCTGGTCCTGTCAGGGTAACTGAGCCGATGCGGTCGGGATCGGTGTGAGCCAGGGGCCAGTGCCAGAGAGCAGAGTTCGCGTGTCACGTGAGGTAAAGACAAGTGAGGGACTTGAAATTACGGCACAGAGAACGGAGCCGACTTGATCAAATGACAGGTGGAGGGATGTGGGAAGAGGATGCTGTGTCTGGATGTGGACCGGGAGTAAGGCAAGACACTTACTCGTTCGCCTTTGATCCAGACGATGCCGCCGTGGAGACAGCTGAGGAGGCAAAGGAGCCGGCTGAAGCTGACATCGCTGAGCTCTGCCGGGACATGTTCTCCAAAATGGCAACTTACCTGACCGGAGAACTAACTGGTGAGGCGGGGTGTGGGTTGACTTAGCTGGTGTCGGGAACCACTAGGTGCGGCTGCAGTTTGACTCCCGGAAACCTGTAAGTCGGATTAGCAGCAGCAGTCTGCGGCTTTCTCTCCACATTCCCTGAAATAATGCATGCTGGAAGTTTGGACAGATCATGAACGGGAAGCAAAGACGCCCATTCCTTCCCTGGAGAAATTAATGAACTACTTTTCAGAAACATGTAAGAGTAATATAACTCTCCAGTCCTCCGAAGTGTAGACTAATGCTGAGAAAACAAAAAAGAATTCAAGAAGGAGTGCTTCCTTGTTGGAGGTGTGTTGTGAACAGGGATGTGAAGGGAATGATTGGCCATAAAAGGGGAGACGACTAGTAAGTAAGATGGTATAAGTGAGCAGTTTGTTTTGCTGAAGCACAAACGTATTTACTGGGGCAAAGAGAAATAAAATTGGGGAATGGGGAGTGATCTGCAGATTTAGGGACCTGTTAGGTTGGTCTGAGGATTTGGTGACCCACCTTTTGGGACACGATTAATTTTTTGGTCCATTGTGTATTCCGGGTGAACACATGGTTATGTGTGGAGGAGGTTCCAAAAAGTGAAGTCTGGTCCAGTGTGGCCTGTCATAAACATTTATTATATTGTTTCACTTCCCCAGGAAATTGCTGTGAGCTAAATTTTGGGGAACCAGAATTTAGGAGAAAAGGCTTGATGCAGACAGAATAGGAAGGCCTGTGAGTATTTGTCACACTGATGATCTATTTCTGAACAAATCAAGTAACAAAATTGAGAATTTGGATTTCTCTTTAAAAATTCCAAAGATTTGGCAATATTAGGGCCCCACTCTTGTGTGCTATGATTGACTAGAGCTGAGTAACTGTCCCTCTAAATGGACCAGTGCTATGCAGAGTGCCCCATCACTCCTGTTTTCTCCCTTTTACTGGGACTTGGTGTCAGCTGCCATTTATTCACTGTTCCTACGTTGTTTTTTTTAGTAGTCTCTACCAAACAGCAATATATCAAAGCTGGCAAAGTAAATGATAGACTAGGAAGACTGCATGTTCTAAGAAGTGGAAGAGAGCATATTTCTTTCTGGAAGTGAATAATCTTATGTGTTTAATAGGCAAACACCTTGCTTGCTTCACTCATTTACATTATCTTGCTGGCTGCTAGGTATATGAATGTGTGATCTTTGTTTTAGAGAGACTAATTTGATAGCAGTGAGAGTATGGTTATAAAGGAGAGAGACCAGAGACAGATGAACAATATTTCACATGAAAAGTAATGATGGTCTGTGACAGAGTGATGGTAAAAGGAGTAGAAAAGAAAGCGTGGGTGCAAGTACATCATAGAAGTGGAATTTATAGGACTTGTTGAAGTGGGTATTGAGGGATGGGAGCAGTCTAAGATGTGTTTAAGGTTTAAAGCCTGGGTTGTGCTATCAACCAAAATAAGGAAGTTGGAAAGAGGAACTGTGTTTGGTGTGAAAATATCTTCAGTTTTGGCTTGGCTGATTCTAGGTATTACCAGGACAGTTAGGCGACTTGCACATGTGAGTCCAGATTTCAGAGAGTGGCCAGAATAGGAGAAACAGATTTGGGAGTCACCTGCAGAGCAGTGTGAGTTGAGGCTGTGCAGGATGAGATTGGCAAAGAAGCTCTTAAAGGTGGATGAAAGGGCCTTGACCAAAATCTCAGGGAATGTCTGTAGGTCATTAATATGTTTTTAGTAACAGTACTGAAAGTATCTATGTTTCCAAATGATTTCTTTATTATAAAACTAATTTTAAGCAGATTGTAATTTCCCTGTCACTGTCATTCTTGCATAAATGCTTTTTTGAGTTTAAATGGAAGCTAGCGTAACCCTGGGAATGTACCACCCATGTAAACATCAGTCATTTGTCACCGTTGAGAAAAGTTGAGAACTGATAAGTTAAGGAAGGTGGATAAGAAAGGATCTGGCCCAGAAACCTAAAAAGAGCAGTTCTAAGAAATTGGAAAATCGGTATGATACAATGCTATAGCAGCCAAGGGAAATGAGCATTTCATTAAGAGAGGGAGAACATAGTGTCAGATATTACAGAGAGGTTTAGGAGGATAGTAACTGAGAAAATGCTTTGAATTTGGTGGTTAGGAGAGCAGTGATTTCTCTTGATGGTGGGGGCAGGGTCCAGACTGCAAGGGGTTTACAGGAGTGGATGGTGAGGAAGAGGAAGCATTGAGTGTAAGCTACTCTTTCGAAAGGGTTAACAGTGATGTTCCTTTGCTTTACTGAGTGAATGATGTAGGTGTAGCAGAATAGAGGCAGTGTTTTGGGGCTGAAGGAAACCTGAATATATTTCAAGATTGAGAGGAAGGTGCCAGGATCAAGAAAGAATTTGGAAATGCAAGAGAAAGGAGACAGTTGAAGAGAGGCCCTGTAGAGGTTGAAGGAGCACGGACGAGGAGTTGTGAGAGCAAGCATAGGAGCACTTCTCCTTGGGAAAATAATAAGGTATACAGAAGTTCTGAAGTAAGACAGAAAGGTTGAAGCAGCTTATGTAAGTGGGCTTGGCTTTCAGGAAAATTGGAGTAGAGCCATTTGTTTTGAGTAGGGATGGGGAAGGGAATTGAGGGGATTAGAGGCAGGCAAATGGTTTAGAAAAGTCAGTGCACAAAATGTGATGTAGAATCACACAATAATAAATGCATTACTAAGAAGTGGGGAGGTCCTAAAAATACTCATAATCTGACATATATTTATGATGCGATCCCTCAAATTACATGTTTTCATTCTATAGATATACCAAGACTCTTTCACCTCCCTTTCTTAGGACATGAGTTTATCATTTCCCTTTCTAATCAAGATCTTGAAGTTCCTGAATCTTACTTGGTTTATTTTAAAGAGTTTGCTGATTGTTCCCTGAGTTTCTACTTAGACATTCAGAATAGACAAACTGAGTATAAACATCATAGATCAAAAGTGGCCTACATTGACATTCCCTAGTCCTGCCTGAACTACCATTTGGCCTATAATTCCACAGTCCAGTGATCTAAGGGAAATCTTAAAGGCATCACATCTTCTGTTTATTTTAAAGCCACCAGTGAAGACTATAAGCTCCTGGAAAATATGAATAAACTGACCAGCCTGAAGTATCTTGAAATGAAAGATATTGCTATAAACATTAGTAGAAACTTAAAGGACTTAAACCAGAAGTGTAAGTAATAATTTTTATAATAAAACATGTTTGTATCTAATATTCTTTTGTGCTTGGGCCTCATTTTCTAAAAGTGAATTTCTTCTATTCTGATGATTATCATATTTTGGTGGTATTGTTATTTCTGCTTCTGAATCTTGATTGATCAGTTTATTCCTGGGAAAGGAGGAGGGAGAGAAAGGGCGGCCAGATTTTAGTGAATTGACTTAACAGTGAAATCCATAAAGCACTACTCTCTACAGAAAACCAGAACATGTATAAATGGAAAACTCCAATTTAGACTGGTAGAATGTATGTTTCCATTGATTTATGTTTGTGTTCCCTGTATATCTGGTATACTCTTTCTTGGTAGAGGAATTCAAGAAAAACAGTCAGTAATAGAAAGATTGCTTGAAGTGCAAGGAATTTTAAAGAGAGGAAAATTAGTGCATGAGAGACTTGTTTTATCTGGGTCACAGTTGTTCCTGATAGCTAGCTTCTGTCTTCTAAAGTGTTTGTCCTGCTAGTGATCAGAAACATCTCACCCCATTTAGTGTGTCTTAGGCAGACCTGGAGAAACACTAGCTCCTTCATTTCCACTCTTTTTCTACACTCCTTCGTAAGGCCATGTAAACATGTGATCTGTCTTTGTTTTAAAGATGCTGGACTGCAGCCTTATCTGGATCAGATCAATGTAATTGAGGAGCAGGTAGCAGCTCTTGAGCAGGCAGCTTACAAGTTGGATGCATATTCAAAAAAACTGGGTAACCATTTTTTTTCCATTTTGATTTAGTAACGGTACCCCCCATGGGTATGACCTTAGCTAATATGATAGTTAACATTTATGGTGTGCCTATGATGATCTATTTTAATCTTCACAAAAACCTAGTGAGAGTAATTTTTTATTAGTAGTAATAAGAATAACATTTCCTGAAAACTTAATGACATATCAGGCACTGTTCTTAGCACTTTACATGTGTGATGTTTTTATCCACCTGAGAAACTATGAGATAAGTGCATGGTTTTTATCCCCATTTTTATTCCCCCTTCTATAGAGGAGTAAACTGTGATTGAAGGATATACATAAGGATACAAGGCTAGTATGTAAAAGAGTTATATTCTAAACCTGGTCTGTTTGATTACAAATTGTGGCTCAGCAGGCCAAATCATCTTTAATAATGTAGATCATATGTCTTAAAAAAGCAAAATAGTCAATCAAGGGTTTTCTTGAAGGATTACTTTTCCTTTAGGGAGGAAACTGGTATTTTTAGTGTTGATGGCTTACTAATTGGCTCTGGCTCTTATACCCATGATTAAAAATAATCAGGTTGTTTTTATCCTAGATAGAATTTACAAATGATTTTATTTTCGTCCTTGATAGTTGTTGACTACTTCAAGCTAGTGGTTTGTAACAGACTGAGGTTTGAACATGGATGGTGATTCATAGTTTGGTTGTCTGTGATTAAATTTATGAAATGGTGACTGTGAACCTTATTACGTAGAAGGCATTGTACCAGGTGCTTTCAAGGTTTTAAAGGAAAAAGGAATCTATCACAGTAAGAGGTTAATTTCACAGTCTTTTAAATCTCTGTATCTTTCAAAATTACTTCTCTATAGTGAGGTGTAGAGATAAGAAAATAAAGGAGGAAAAGTACATTTATATGTCCAGAGAATTCTAGTCTAGCTCCCAGAGGGTGGCTAAGACGTGCTTGGAGAGGCAATTTCCCATGCTTAGTAGGCTCCTGGTGGCTCATGTGCCAGTAGATCTGCTTATCCCTGGTGAAGTCATCTGAGCAGGTACTGTTGACAGGGTTAGACCTCAGGGAACATGTGTCGGGCTCCCAATTCTGTGTTTGACTCCTCTCAAGCTGTGCGTGATGATATTTGGACAGATATATAAACCTCTGTCCTTAGCTAATATAATAGTTAACATTCATGGTGCCTGTAGTTTGGACTTAGTTTGGACAGATAATGAGATTGGAGCTAATAGATATTTTTAAATGTAATAAGCATTTAAAAAAATTTGCCTGGAAATGCTAACTAAAAAGTATATTTATAAGAGCTGGCTTTCAAAGATGTAACATCCTCTCCCTCTCCCCCTGGCAGAAGCCAAGTACAAGAAGCTGGAGAAACGTTGAAAAACTTATTTCTATGGGACAACGTCTTTTTTAATGTGGAAGAATGTTTTTATAAGCCCTGAATCCTGAGGCCAATGAATTGTTAAAACTCCTCAAAAGGAACTATGTTGGTCATCCCAGAAACTTCCCAACATTGGACTAAACTGGAGGACTGCGGCTACTCCTGAACTTCTTTTGAGGCATTATCCCTCGGAAACTCACACTTAAAACTCCCTTATCTTTTACTTGAATGCTTCATCGTCTATTCAGGACAGAATCTCTCAAAGTTCAGGATAAACCTAGGCTTGCCAGTAGAGTAAAATGAGAGGACCTATTTTCTTGGGTAGTGGTTGATTACTATATTATTATCTGGCTGTATAAAGTTTCTGTGTAAATGTTTTTTTTTTCTGTTAATGATGCTAATGTATTGCTAAACAAGATCTAAATTTAAAAAGGAAAACAAAACAGACTTGTTATTTACACTCTATCACCTTGTGGGTATCAGTAATTTTATTTTCCATAATATTGCAAATAACAGAAAAATTTTAAAATAATTGTAGGCCAACTCTTATAGACTGAGCAGAAGCTGTGAAAGGAGTGTTGTAATAGCTTGGTATATGTGATATGTCCCTCTTGTTTCTTCTCTGTGTGAGTCAAAAGTCTGGGGATCGATGACATCTGACATGTGCTCCCTTTTGGAAATGTGATAAAGACAGGACGTTTACATGCGTGTATGTGTTAGGTGTAGAAGTGGGACTGCCACTCATAAAATAAACCATTTCCTCCTACTTGTGTCTATAGGATCAGGGGCTCCTAGGGACCTGAACGTCTTCCATCAGCCTAAAGACACCAGTGGGTGGAGGATACTGACTGACCAGTTTAATCTGGGAGGCTTCCTTATCCAGAGTTGGGTGTTAGCGGCCAGGAAGGTGCCATCTTCAAAAGGGTCTTACCTCTGTTTCTGTCATTCCACACTATCTCTGCTGCAGACCACCATCATTATCCTCTGCACTATTGCTGGAGTGTCTTATCATCTTAGCAATCCCTCCAACCCACCCTCCACACTGCTGCCAGAACAATCTTCTTAAAATATAAACTGGTTGCATTACTCCTCCTGCTTAGAATCCTTTAGTGACTTCTTGTAGCCTCTTTGAAAAAGTCAGAATTTTTTTTTTCACTTAGAATCCAAAATTTTAATGAAATATTTCACTTTACTTTTGTGTTTCTGAGGATGAACTTGTCTAATGCAATTCTCTTTGGTTCTTTATTAAAATTTCTATAAATTTTTCATAAAGGATTTGAAACATTTGGCCAGATACACATTTTGACACAGAATCTAGCATTTTCAAGTTGACATATACACTGGACAACCTCCCAGTTAGACATTTAGGATATAAGATTCTCCCAAGGTAGAGCTAAAAATGCTCTGACCATATTTTTGCACTGGAAAATAGTATTTTCAGAACTGGCTGTCCCTAGGATTCATCTGTCATTTTTCCTCTGTGTTCCTTCTATGGCAGTTTGGCACAAGTGGCTCACTCTTTACTGGTGAGATGGATTTTAAAAACCGTAGCCAGATAGCCAGCCTCTTCATTAGCAACCTCCTGTCCCCAGACTGAATCAAGCCAGTGAAATGGACTGATACTTACGTGGCGTTTTCCCCAGGAAAATAGAAATGAGCCCCATTCAGCTTTCACTATTGGTTTCTTCATTTATTGGCTGCTTTGCTCGGATCATAAAATTCACCCAGTAGAAGCTGTCAAAGACCAAGCAAAAGTAATCCTATCCTTTTTTGCTTTGCTAGGCAATTGGTTCTCAAAGTGTGATCCCCAGATTAGTATTACCTGGAAAGCTGTGGCAACTGTAAATTCTCAGGCCTCACCCCAGACCTACTAAAGCAGAGACTCTGGGGAAGGAGCCAAGCAATCTGTGATTGATGTCAGCTAAAATTTGAGGACCCGTTTATTAAATAGATGATTTTCACATAAGTACAACTCTAATTTTAAGGAAATGTTACTAGTTAAAAATCCTCACTTCCTCAGATCTGTTAGAGCTGAGATGGCATGTGATTCACTTCTCATCAATGAGATACAAGCAGACAGTTACTGGGTGAGGGCAACACTCACAGAGGGTTGGATAGCCAAAACAACTCGCAAGTGTGTGTGTGTGTATGTGTGTGCATATTTTATAGATCAAATATGGATAGATACATAGATACAGTATATATTACATTATATAGGTTATATACCTATATAAATGTCTTTATCAAATATATATAGATTGTATATTTAAAGATATATATCTTTGTACATTAAATATGCATATGTATATTTAATAAAAGACATAGGATACAATATAGCAGGAGAAAGAAAGCATTGGCAAACATTGGGGGTCTGAGATGCCCAGGCACAGCTTTTCAGTCTCAGAGGAGGCACTTCCTCACTAGCTGTTAAACTGACAAGGTCACGTGTGAAATACCTTGTTCTCAAGGGAAGCCAAGGCACAAGTTTACTGAGGGGTTATTTGTATCCCACTGGCCAAGTACCCAAAATTAGGCTGTAAAACCAGCTTAAACCCATTGTGGACTATCAGGGAACAGAGAAGCTGGCACAGCATGCCTCCTGGGGTTTTGGACTTTAAACCTAACATTATGAATCACCGCTGGTTCATTTCATTCCTTTCCTGGTCGTGGGTCAACGGCATTGTTCCACTTATCCCTGAGGTAAGAGAATTATCACAGATTAGCTTCAAGTTATCTCCTTTCCTACATAGTCGACTTTCTGGAATTACTCTTATTTTCCTGGTATAAAGAGATGGATTCACCTTGCATAGCTCGTGTTCTCCTCTCCTTTTTTCTTCCTGGAATGCAAACACAACGTCTGGAGCAGACCAGATATTCTGAGACCCCGAGGTTGGAGTCTCCACTGAGGAAGGTTGAAGGGAAAGATGCAGTGAGTCTGGGTCTCCATGGCATCTCTGAGACTCTTTCTAGACTTCTCATTAAATTAGAAGAGTAGACCCTTACTCATTTTAGCTTCTCTTTCTTGAGGTGTTACTGCAGATGAAAGCCATCCTCAAGGAAACAAAGGGTTTAAGAGTCAAAGTACATATTACACTTTGTGTGCTCATATATTGAGAAATTGAAGATCTACTCTTAGCAACTTTCAAACATACAATTCAGTATTTTTAACTATATTCACCATGCTGTACATTAGATTCCCAGAATTTACCCATCTTATAACTGAAAGTTTGTGCCTTTTGACCAACATTTCCTACATTCCCTCCCCACTCCCCCCACTATCACACCCCTGGCGACCACTAATCTACATTCCATTTCTTTGATTTTGACTTTTTTAGATATCACATATAAGTGAGATGATGCAGTATTTGTCTTACTCTGACTTACTTTATTTAACATAATGCCCTTAAGGTCATCCATGTTGTTGGAAATGGTAGAATTTCCTTCTCTTTTATTTTATTTTTTTAATTTGGTATCATTAATCTACAATTACATGAGGAACATTGTGTTTACTAGGCTCCCCTCTTCACCAAGTCCCCCCCACAAAGCCCATTACAGTCACTGTCCATCAGTGTAGTAAGATGCTGTAGAGTCACTACTTGTCTTCTGTGTTGCACATTCCTCCTCGGGCCCCCCCCCCCCAATTTCCTTCTCTTTTATGGCTAATATTTCATTGTGTTTGTGTGTGCACATATCTCACATTTTCTTTTCCATTCAGTGGAGGCTTAGGTTGTTTCAATATGTTGCTGTTGTGAATAATGCTTCAGTGAAGATGGGGGTGCAGATATCTCTTTGGTACCCTGTTTTTGTTTCCTTTGGATATACCCAGAAGTGGAAGTGCTGGATCAAGTGTGTGCAGTGCAAGAGTGAAGATTGGATCCTGAATGAAAACAATCCCCAGATATAAAATAAATTGTGAGGGACAAATGGAGAGCTTTAAATATGGGTGTGTATTAGGTGATATTATTGACTTAGTGTTAATAGTCTTAGGTGTGTTAATGGTATTATGGTTATGTAGGGGGATGTCCTTATCCTTAGAAAATGGCCTGCTGAGCTATTCCTGATGTCTGCAATTTAGTTTAAATTATTCAGTGAGAATAAAAGAGCTCTCACCTTGAAGGAGCAAGAGACCATGCAAGTAAATTTGGCAAGATGTGGACACTTAGTGAATCAAGGTTATAGCTATTCTTTTAACTTTTTGATAGGTTAAATTTTTACCAAAAAAGCATGTATAGCAGTATGTGTAACAGGAAAACTGAATTAAATCTCTGGGATTTAAAATTTAACACTAACATTAACTTGAAAATGAACTCAAGAAGCCTCCAAAACTTTGTAACCATTAACAGTTGACAGTTTCTCTTTGTTCTTCCTGTTTTGTGAGTCTCAGCATCAGAGATAAAGCAGAAAGCAGACTGTGCAGAATGCAAGCCATCCTGACCCAGAGCACCGCGAAGGAACCTGTAAGAGAAACAAAAAGCAACTGAATTGGTGCAAGAATGTCCGCTTAGATCCTTGCAAGTTGTTACTCTGTGCTGTGAACACCACAGCCTCTCTCCCACAATTTTCTCTTTAAAAGCCCTAACTGCCTAACTGCTTGTGCTTCTGGGGAACAGTGGTTCTTTAAGGCATAAATAAGCCTGCCACTTCCTCATTCGCTGGCATATTAATAAATGATTCCTTTCCTTTCCTTAAAACCTTGTCATTGTGTTTTGTGATTTGACACAAACACAATGAAATATTAGCCATAAAAGAGAAGGAAATTGGGGGGCGGGGGGCACGGGGAGGAATGTGCAACACAGAGAAGACAAGTAGTGACTCTACACATAAGTCCAAAGCACCTTGCCCACTGGACTTATGTGTTAGGTTGGACCCTAATATATGGTTTTGTTAGGCTAGGGTCCAGCCTTTTCCGGGAACTTTCTAGCATCTAAAATAACTTCAAATGCCCCAAAATAAAAAAATCATAGGTGGGATACTTTCTATCATTCCCCCTTCCTCTACTGTTCTTGATTCCTGGAGGCAAACTACCTTGAGAAACTGTTGTCCCCTGGCGCTCGCCGTAGATAAGTGAAGCCTCATTGGTTGGAGTGCGTTGACGTTTTAGAGTGCCGCCGCGTTTTCCTGTGCGGTTCTGGGTTCGGAGTACCAGTTTTGGGTGGTCGTCCCAACTCGGGCTGTTGGGATTGATGGCACAGAAACCGCTGCGCCTGTGAGTGACCTTGAATCAGAAATGCGCGCGTGTGCGCGTTCTGGCGCTCTTGTCTGGGTTGGGGTGGGGGGTGCGTTAGGCGTCGGGGGTGTCTTTCTCAGGACTGGAAGGGAGGAAGAAAAGGTGGGGGCGCGAGTGGGGCTGTAGCTGGTAGACCCCGATCATTTCTCTGCCTGGCCGGCCTGGCGTCTCCTCCTGGCGTTTCCGCTTCCGAGGGGAGCTCTTTTGGCAACACTCCGTGGGAGTCGCGGATGCTCTGTGCGTCAGGCCTCCTTCATTTTAGTCTGTGCTGGCTTCTGACACTTCATTTACCCTTCATTTCTCCCCGCACCACACCTATTTATTAATGAAGGCTTCTAGGTATGGGGCGCATTGTTGGGCCCTGGTCAGTGGTGGACAGGATAGATAGAGCTCCTGTCCTGGCCCAGTGTTTTGGGTGGAGGTGTTGCTGAGGTGGTGAAGAGAGGATTTCCATTCGTTCATTCATTCATTCTTTCAACAAATAGTTATTGAACTGTATTGCAGTGTGCCAGCTCTGTGATCAGCATTTTCTAGATGGAGTTTCTTCTCCTTTAGTGGAGCTTATAGTCTAGAGGGACATAAAAATAAAAACTCAGATAGTGTAAAATTATGGTAGTGATGAATTGATAAATGCCAGGAATAAAATGCTTCATAGTTCCTTAAAGGGCGTATGGTAGGATATTTGACCTGATGTGAGGAATCCAGAGTGAGGGATTGGCTTTGATTAATATTTTTGTCTTTATCTTAAAAAAGCCATTGAAATCTTTTAGAACACTGTGACGGAATCAAATTTGCATTTTGGAAAGCGATTCTGCCTGCAATGTGGAGAATAACTAGAACCAGAGTAGAGGACAGTGAGGATTAGGTAGAGTGATAGCAAAAGCAAAGTGCAGGGATTCCAGGTTTATTAAGGAGATGAAATCAACAGGACTTGAAGATGGTTTTGTTGTGAGTGAAAAGAAATCAGCACTGTTGGGTTCTTAGATTTCTCATTCTTCAGTTGGGTAGGAAATACTGGAAAGGGTCCCAGATGAAGAGATGATGAATTCTGAGGTGGCTTATGATGTACAAACTGGACGATGGCTCTCCCAAAAGCGATTACGATTCCATGTGGCTACTGCTATCGTAGGGGAGGTGCAGGATCCTGTGGGAGCATCAGGAATTAGTGATTGATAGTGACTGAAGGGCTTCCCAGAAGAGGTGGTGCTCAGAAGAAAAATAAAAATGCTTAGTTGTTCATTACAAAGTTGTTTCTGAAATGCTATAGGGCTTTTGAAGTTTTGAGAAGAGAGTGACTTTCTGAGCCCATCAGGAGGGCTAAAGAGATGTGGTAGGCCTTGAAGGATGGGAAGAATTTAGACTCAGGAAGGGTAGGGTTGGGACTGTTTGGAATAACTATCCCAAGGAATGGCAGAAACAAGTGTGATCAGATTGACAGTAGAGAAGGTTTTCTGTTGGGCAAACTAGGAGAAAGCACAGGAAAAAGGGAGCAGGGACTTGTGGAAGATTGTGGTTCTGCAGGCAATGGAGTTTTCTTGATGTTTTTAAGGAAAAAAACATTAAACTGTAGCTTTATGTAGAATGGATAGGAAGAAGGGAAGGCATTAGAGAAAATGTAGTAATCATATTCTCTGCTTTGTGTGCAATACTAGATTCATTACATTTCTGATTTTGGCTCTGCCACATCATTCGAACTCTCAGTTGCTTGGCCTTGCTGTTATCCTCCATTTGTCCTCCCTCATTTGCCCTTTTACTTCTCCACTCCAGTTTGTGCTCATGTCTTCAGAAGTCTAAATTTCTCATCTGTCTCTCTCCTCACCATCTATCTTCATTTGACATTGCCCTTGTTGTGGCATTTTTACTTATGGTCACTTGTTCCTCTATACTATCTTTCACTTGTTTCTAAAATGATCTTTCCCTGATATGGTCATGTCACTACCCAGCTTGAAATTGTTCAGTGATATGGACAATAAACCATTGTCCATATGGTAGTGAAATACATACTGACACAGGAAGAACTAAAATAATTCAAGATGAGTTAAATGACATAAAGAAAATGATGTGAAATATGGAAAAACCATGTTAATCAGGATTATGAAAACAGAAATGAGCTAACAGAGCAAGTTGCTTTACTGCTAAGGGCCAATTTGCTTTGCTTACCTCAGCTCTTACCACATTCTACCTCTCTGCTCCATAAGGCTTTTAAGACACACACCTCCAGTTGTAGCCTTCCAGTTGTAGATTCTTGTAGGAAGAGGATATCCCCTTCCCTGATTGTAAACTTAATTGAGGCTTGAACTGAGTCTTCCTTCTCTTCATACTTGTAATACGTTTTAGCATAGTACTTGGCATATTGTAGGCATCCGGTACATGCTTATTGAGTGGAAGATTGAAGCCCTGTGCTAAGATAGTGGCAGTGGAAATAAAAAGGATGGAATGAATGTGAAAGATATTTGGAAAAAGAAATTGGTGAGACTTGATGACCAAAAGAGGAATTTTGGACTCTTGGTGATCAAGTCCACAGGAGCCCCAGCCAGTAGAATTTGGGAAGTGAGAAGAAGCAGCTGGTTCAATTTTGAAGGAAGTGACAAGCTGAATTTTAGATGTGGTGATTTCAAGGTGTTGGTGACACCGTTAGATGGAGCTGCGCAACGATCAGTAGTAGTTCACATGCGTTGAACTTCTCAGATGACCTCTGAGAGACTGGATCACGTATCTGCCTGATCCAGGAAGACTAGTGTATATCAAACCTGGCAGGCCCATTCCTGTTTCCTGAATTGCCTTAACGTTTATCTCTTGTTTGCAGCTTGGCTTGTGGAGACGTTGAAGGAAAGTTTGATGTTTTATTCAATAGAGTTCAAGCAATTCATAAGAAAAGTGGAAACTTTGATGTAAGATGTTTCTTTTTACTGAATTTAACCTTATGGTTGTTGTCAAACATACTAAAATAAGATTTGGGCTCCTTTATTCATTTCTTGATTCAACATACACTCCTTTTTTGTTAGATCGAGTTCCTTTTATGAACATAGGCACTTAGTAGATGTAGAGTGGTGGGGGAAAGGAAGACCTGTTTTCGTTTTTATGCTTTTTTAATTTGTATCTTTATTACTGTACACAGAACTGAAAATAGACTAGCAAAACCTCCCTAAGTGATTTTGACCACTGAGTTTGGGAGGTGCAGATTTATTTCATGAGTGTATGGTATAGATTAAGTCAGATAACATAAATACAAGTGCTTCACAAACTGAAGAGTCTTATATAAATGTCATGTGTTGTTGCAAACTAGACTCTAAACTCCTCGGGTCCAGAAGAGTAGAGATTGGGGATAATTTGTTCGTTGGGTTAAAGGTTGAGTGAAGACAATCGGCAGGAAATGTGTTTTTTATGCCGTGTATCTCTTGGGATATCTAATATTTAAAGTTTTGTGTTTCACAGAGGGATTCTTCAAGGTTGATTTGTCCATCTGTCCCTGACCTCCTCCTTGTTCCCATATCTGACTTGAGTTTGACAGCCAGTGAGACAAAATTTAGTAACCTATAGAATCAGACTAACTACTGTAATTGCTACTAAAGAATCATATATTGAAATTCTGCAAATTGATTAAGGAAAAAACCTGGTTTGGGGTCATTAAGTAGGAAATTTAGCTGAATAATGTTACTGTCAATTATGTACTGTTTGATACAAGAATAACTCATACATTTGTTTAAAAAACTCATTTTAGCTGCTGTTGTGTGTAGGAAATTTCTTTGGTTCCGCTACAGATGCTGAATGGGAGGAGTATAAAACTGGCATCAAGAAAGGTATAGAAATTATTTTTATTTAACAAGTGATTTCTAGCTGAGTTTCAAGGTTAACTCAGTTCTTTCTGGGTTGTTTCTCACATGTGTCAATTATTTAAGAATTTCCCTTTGAGCTCTGCATTGAGCTGGGAAGGATGTTGTTGCATCTAAAGGTTCACATTTTGAATCTGGTTGTATTTAATTTCAGAAAAATAATTCTTTTCTAAGTAGGCAAGAAGTGAATAAATGCAACCATATGTGTCTTTTCCTTTTTCTACTTTTAATACTCTTTCATTAAGCTCCTTATGGTCTGTGTTTACCTAATTTTACATTGACTATCTGCTTTAGAGGTCTCTTCCTCAGCCTAGTGATACCATTTAATAGTCAGGCCATAGGGCTGGGTACAGGATATCCTAAGTGGTAAGCATGTTCCACATGTAGAATTGCAGACTCTACTTTTGCCATGATTATTTTTCATAAAGGCAAGCATTTCTCAGGTTCCAAAGCAGATCTGGTAACTATGATGTCATGTCTGTTACTCTCACTAGCTCCTATTCAGACTTTTGTGCTGGGTGCCAATAACCAGGAAACAGTAAAATATTTCCAAGATACTGATGGGTGTGAATTAGCTGAAAACATTACTTATCTAGGTAAGTTAATATTTTTGGTGTTTGTAATGAATATAATAAAGTGTCCCCAGGAATTAATCTCCCAGAAAAGTTGTGGCTGGATTCTTCTGCCATTACTGCCTGAGAGAATGGGGGTCAGAGAGTTCTTTTCCAGAGTCTGTTTCTATACTCTTAGAACTGTGGCATTTTTTCCTTGTGGTCTCAGCTACCTCTCCCCAGGTTCCTTGTGTTCCCTCAACCCAATATATACTCTTTCAGCCAACTAGAGGAATAGCCTATTTGACTACAGTGTATGAAGTCCTTAAGGTATAAATTATGTGAAAAATTCCATTTATGTGGTCTCACCTGGTAGCATTGCTAAGCTATATACTTGTCAGCTTGTTTGTTAGGTTCCTAACTAGCTATAGTTCTAGGTCTCACTAAGCTTTTGAAAACTCAAGTTCTTAGTGTTGATCCTTGGGTTTTTCACTCTCTGTCTTTTTTCTGGTTCCAGGTCTGCTGTTCAATTCCAGGTTAAAGTCATTCCCTCCACAACCCCCTTAATCTCTTTTAGTGTGTTTTTCATTGTCTGGCTATTTTAAAAAGCACTGTCAAATTTTGATTTTGTTTTCCTCCCATCTGCTGTCAGTCTACGTATGACCTCTTAGATTATTCAACTCATTTTTCTAAAACAGCTCTACTTCTCTTCACATTTCCACTTTCTTGGTCTCTCGTTTCGCTGGAAAGTATCTACACTTCCTTTGTTGTAAATGTCTTCCCACTCTCTTCCCTGCTATAATCCTTCTTACCCTTTTTTTCTCTTATGTCTGACTGTGACCCTCATGTAAGCAATCTCATCTCATCTTGCCTCAATCATATGTGGCTCCTTTAGGCAAAAAATTGAGGAATGGACTTTTGCTGTTTTTAACCACAGTTGCAAGATACACATTTTGAAATCCTTTTGTTGTAGATCTTAACAGTAAGATCTTACTGTAGTTACTAGAGTTGGATTAAGACCACAGCTGTAGGTGTTTATGGCAGCCATTTTACCAAATGAATTTAGTTCCAGGAGTTGAAAGAGCAGCTGAGGTATTTGGGTTATTTCTGTGAAAGAGGTTTTTGAGATGCAGAAGGAGAAGCAGACGATGAACTTGACAGTGAACATGTAATAGTGAGCTTGAAGTGCTGGCAGAACATCAACATGCAGTTGGAAGTAACCTTTCTAGAATGTATTAACAAGGTCAAGTTGAAGAGTATAGATTTCGGGGAGTTGGTTCCATAAAGATGAAAAGTAAAGCTGAGAAGATCAAATTATTACTGGGGACTTAAGAAGAAATAAGAAGGGAAGAAGGCAAATGATAGTACTTTGTGGTGGGGAGCATATATTTTCATCTAAAGGGTAGACAAAGAGATGAAAGCGATTAGAGGGTTTGGAGAGGTAAAGATACAATCAAGTTCATAGACACTAAGGAGAGAATAGCTTCAGGAGTAGGGACCATTGGCACTTATAGGGTGATTAGTGACCTTTAAGAGAGTGGTGGGAGAGGAAACTAGATTGCAGTGGGCTAAGGAACTAAGAAAGAGCGAGAGCAGTTAGCACGGACTACTCTTGAGAATTTTTAAACTGAAGAGAAGGAAGTTTATCAGTTAGTGTGTGTGTTCCTTTATTGGTTTATTAGTATGTTCCTTTTGTGAGTTAAACTGTGTATTCCTTTATTAGTATGTATATTCCTTTATTAGTTAGTATGTTTAATATTCTATTCTTTTCTGACTGGAAACAGCCAGTTGAGAAGAGACTCCAAAAGAGATGAAAGGAAGGTGAAAATTGAAGGCCCAGAAGCAAGGTCTTGAAGGCAACAGGAAGCAAGGGCACAAAGCCAGGAGTAAATTTAGACAAGGGTAGAATCTCTAATTTATTTTTTCCAAGTGTTTTCCTTCAACTGTAAGCTGCTGCTTGCATGAAGAGTACATCTAGACTGTACCTTCCTCAGAGCTGCAATTATTTTTTCTTCCATTGTCTGTCCCTTTGTCCAGGTGTCTGGGTTTTTTTTAAGTCCATGTAGAGTTTCTAGAAGGCAGAAAGCCTTTTTCTTAAAACTGTGAATAAATGCAACCATATGTGTCTTTTCCTTTTTCTACTTTTAATACTATTTCATTAAGCTCCTTAATGAAGCTGCTTTCCAGCTTTTTCATTTTAAGGAACCTGGGATAAGCAGATTGGCCCATGGGCTTCAGCAGAATCACTTAAGGGCTGCTCTTCCTGAACAGGAATATTGTTGTAGCCATCCAGCACTGAGATCTAGCAACCAGAAAGGGGAATCTAGGAGCCACAGACATGTAGAATAGCAGGGAGGTGGTGAGTTACTAGCATGGGGAGAGAGATTCATCACCATAATGACATTTCAGTCTGTAGTTTTGACTAAAACCTGTCCATTTTTCTTTGATCCCAGGTCGTAAAGGTATCTTCACTGGAAGCTCAGGACTGCAGATTGTGTACCTCAGTGGGACAGAGTCTTTAAATGAGCCGGTCCCAGGTTACAGTTTTAGTCCCCAGGATGTGTCTTCCCTGAGAACAATGCTGTGTTCAGCATCCCAATTTAAGGGTGTTGATATCTTGCTTACATCCCCCTGGCCCAAGTATGTGGGGAGCTTCGGGAATTCTTCTGTGAGTAGTGCTTGTTTGATGGGAATTTCTAAAAGCAAATTGCACTGGCTTACTCGGGCTCTTTTTACTCTTTATATTGAGTATTTCACCTCTTTGTACCTTTCAGTAAAAATCTTTTGTTAATTTTTTCAGGATACCGAAAGCTCTATTAGCTAACAAAAACAAAAGTTGATCTTAAGAAAGCATATCAAAAATGAGGTTGCTGAAATCTTAATTATAAATGAATAGGTATTTATATTCTGTACTATGTTTTGAAGGTTCACTAATTTTTAGGAAAAGATTTACAACTAGTACCAGCTTTGTAGTTTTATTTCCCCTCTTTGATTCCAGATTGTAGCTTTTCGGTTATCAAAATGTTCTTTTATATGGTATTAAATGGGATTGAAGATATTGATTGAAAGATAGGAATTGAGACACTGAAAACCTGGTACTTCTCTAATGTGAAAGCTTTCATGTTGGGATGTATTGGAGCTCACCATTGCATTTAATCTTAATATTTTTATAATCAAACCAGGAGAGGACATACACTAGGTTGGTGAGTGACAGCTTATCCTGGGTTGTGAAATCCTTCATTGGTGGAAATAAGCCTAAGGAAGACCTTAAAAGGTTGTGCATGAAGACAGAAAGCAGCAGCTGAGCTTCAGTGAAGGGAAATGTAAAATGCGTTTAGAGACCAAATGTTAGTTAAAAGATGCAGAGTTATCAGTAATCATCCAGAAAAGGGTCTTATAGACCACTCTCTGCCAACGTCAGCATGATTTATCTATGACCAAAAAGGCAACAAGATAGCAATCATGGTCAGGAGGATGTTGAAAAAAGGGACAATGCTCTCTTCCTCTTTAACAAATCCATGTTTACTTTCCACCTAGAACATAAGGGGCAGTACTGCAGTGTAGAAAAGATATAATAAAGCAAATCCAGGGAAGAAACAGGGAAGGACTACTAAGGTTAAGATGGAAGGGAGAAAGACACACGTGATGCCCTTAAGGAAGGATGAGAAGAACAAGTCCCCTTCATTTAGGGGATGCTGAAAAGGAATTTCATTGAAGTTCATAGAAAGCCATATAAGATATTTATACATGAGAAAACAATATAGCTTACCATTCCTAAGATACTGCAACTAACCTCAAGGCCAGTTCCTTGACTTCAGCAGAAACCTGAAGGAGGCAAGCATAAGACAAAAGGAAGTTCTTGCCTTACTTAATGGAAAATTAACTTTGTTAATTTATTTATTTCCAGCTACTGCCTTCTCTTAGAGTTCGTAAATATTATGAGTGAGAGATAACTTAATTTGTTGTTAATGGAAGCTAGGGATGTTCTGAGAACATCCTAATTTTTGACGAACTTTGCGTTACAGACTTTATAGCAAGAGCATGGTATGCCCTTCTATAAACCGTGTCTTCCTTGACTGAGGCAAAATAAAGGATGGCATGCTTATGTGATGAAATCCTGAATATTGCATACCAACTATTCTATAGATCCTAGGAATCCTGAAAGCTAGCTTTTAATTCTTATTTTCTGCACTATGACTATGACTATCTGCATTTTCGGCACTACAGTTGCATAACAAGAGAATTACAGAAGCATAATCTATGGGCTCCAGAGAGAGAACTTACTTTCCAAAAAAGATCAGAATAAACCTTGTTTTGGGTATTAGTATGGAGGACTTACTACCTTTTAATTCTTGGCTTCCAGCAATTGTTCCTATTTCTGCATTCACAATAGTCCAGTTCCCCTTATGTGTTGGAGAGTTCTCTGATTGCATACGCATGGGATTCACTATGCAAATCCTATTGCCTACATTGGATCCACATACAAATTCCAAAGATATTTCAAAGTGTCTTGTTATTTCTTTGCATTTCTTGATAACTCTTAGGTCTGCTATGATGACTGAGTTTCTGTTTACCAGGGAGAAGTGGATACCAAAAAATGTGGCTCTTCTTTGGTCTCCAGTCTTGTCACAAGCTTGAAACCAAGATATCATTTTGCTGCTTTGGAAAAGACCTACTATGAAAGGCTGCCATATCGGTGAGAAGAGTTTCATTATTTTGGCATTTTGAAGAATTTGCTGTGAATATACTGTGTAAAGTTTTCTGGTTCATTTTAGCCATTTAACATCTTGGTTCCCTTTGGCTACTCAGGCGTTGAAATAAGTGGCTCTCAAATCATTCAGCTTCGCTGAGTTTGCTTCCTAATTTGAAGTACAAGGGATTGGACTATGGCCCCCTTGCTCTATCTTAAAGGCTTAAGGAATTTAAGTAACAATACTGTTTAATCATCATAACTTTATGTAGCACAGTAGGTCCCATTTCAGTCAGGTCAGACCAGTACTATAGTTTTGAAAACTGGTGTCTCAGTGTAATCACTTCAGAATTATTTCAGTTTGGAAATCAAGAACTTGTATTAATTTTTTTTCTCTTTCTTATTTTGAACTTGAAAATGAAGGATGTTTTTAAAGGATATGTTACAGAGATAATAAAACCAATGTTTTATAAGGGAAAAGAGTTAACTCTATTATCTTCACTGATGAAGGGCGTGGATAATTGCTAAAATAATTTATAAAAACCTTCTTCCTTTTTAAAAATTTTTTTGGTTGTTGAAAGTTAAAAAAATATATAGGTGAGCAAAAAAGAAAATAATCTGTCCTCCCACCATAATCCCAAAACCTAAACTGTAATCACAAATAGTACAGATTTTTCTGGTGTCTCCATATATGCATTGCCAAAAAACCTGTTATTCTCTAAAAACATGCACTAAAAACAGATTATTGGAACAAGCAACTCAAAACCTGTTCAACTTTAAAAGATCTGAATACACATTTCTCTGAAGAACGCATTCCAGTGGCTGATAGGCACATGAAAAGATGCTCACATCATTAACCATTAGGGTAATCCAAGTCAGAACCATAGGGAGATTCCCCTTCATACCATTAAGATAATGGCTGTAATTAAGAAGGCAAATAATAACAAGTACTGGCAGGGATGTGTAGGAATTAGAACCCTCAAATATTGCTGGTAGGAATGTCAAATGGTCCAGACACTTTGCAAAACAGTTTGGCAGCTCCTCGAAAGGTTAGAGTTCCACTTTTGTTTTGTTTGACCCAGCGGTTCCACTTTTGTTCAAGAGAAATGGAAACACAGGGTAACACAAAAACTTGTCCACAAGTGATCATAACAGCATTATTCATAATAGCCAAAAAGTGGAAACAACCCAAATGTCCATCACCTGATGAATGGATAAAGAAAAAGTAGTATATCTGTACTTCGGAATGTTATTTGGGAAAAAAGAATGGAGTACTGATACATGCTGCAACATGGGTAAACCTTGCTAAATGAAAGAAGCCAGATACACACACAAAATATATGATTCTGTTTATATAATGTGCCCAGAATAGGCAAATACATAGAGATAGAAAGTGGAGTAGTGGTTGTCAGGGACTATTTGGAGGGATAGCTAATAGGTATGGGGTTTCTTTTTTGTATGATGAAATTGTTCTAAAATTAGATTGTGACAGTTTCACAGCTTTGTGAATATACTAAAAACTCTTGTATACTTTGAATGGCTGAATTGTGTGGTATTTGAATTCGTCTTAATAAAGCTGTTAAAAAAACAACAGAAAACCCTGTCAACTTTTTAACCAGGACTGAAACAAAACTTAGAACTATCCTGATCAAAATACTAGCATAGTTAAATCTCCACTAACATTTGTCCCTAGAATTATAGTTGGTCCATACTTTGCATCCCTATGTTGTAAGTCTTATGCTTCTTCCTTGGAGGAGCAATTTATCATAATTAAAACCATGTTTCAGGGGTGGCATTCTTCATCAGTCATTTTTATTTTAAATAAAGGCAGGAAACATTTTTACAAGTTCTCTATCTGTGCTGGTAGTTTCCTTGCAGTATTAGTTTTCTATTACCAATGTAACAAATTACCACAATTTTGTAGCTTAAAACAATAAAAATTCTGACCTACGAGAGTGTAGGTCAGAAGTTTGACACAAGTCTTGTGAGCTAAAAGCAAAGTGTTGGCCAGGCTGTGTTTATTTCTGGAGCAATAGGGGAGAATCTTGTGTCCTTGTCTTTTTCAGCTTCTGAAGACCACCTACATTCCTTGGTTTATGGCCCCCTTGCTCTATCTTAAAGCCAGCCAGCAACTCTGGTTGAATCTTTCTTACCAATCTCACCTTCTTCCACAGCCATTTTTCCCTCTTTCTTCTGCTTCCTGCTTCCACTTTTAAGGACCCTTGTGATTATGTTGGGTCTACACAGGTAATCCAGGACATCTCCCTATCTTAATTAGATTAGCAACTGGTTAATTCCATCTGTCACCTTAATTCGCCTTTACTGTGTAAGCTAACATTCAAAAAGGGATGGGGATTAGAACACGGACATCTTTTTCGTGGGGAGATACTATTCTGCCTAGCACACCTGGATAGCTTAACAGTAAAAAGTGTTCACAGTTCTTAAGGCCACTGTGCTAGTCACTACATGGACTAAAGTCGTTTCTGCAGGATATACAGCTGTTCTTCAGTCTCTTCATGTATTGTTAAAGCTTCTATTTAATTAGAACAAACTTGTTTCAGTCATTTTAAAATTTGGAGAAAATTGCACATGCAACAGCATGACTTTCACCTTATATTGACACCAGTCCTAACTATATTCCATCAGTCCAATTATGAAGGTACTCTCTGCAAAAAAAAAAATAAGGGTTGTAGCAGACAGACTGTAATTTGGTTTATTTTCTTTCAATAATGTGAATATAGAACATGTATTTCTGTATTTGATTTATATAATGTGGTATGTAATTTTTTTTCAATAAAATGATGTATGACAGATTCAGGAAATTTCTGTAGCATGAGGAAAGTAAAGAACTCTAAGGATTGGCATCTGTATTAATGGTCAAGTCCTATAAATAAAAAAATATAATGTAATAATTTTTAAAATTATAAATAATAGTTCTTTAATGTAGAATACTTGTAAAATAGCTCAAAAAGGTGTTTTGGTATATGTAGTTCCCATATTTTTTTCTGTGAAATACAGACTGTCATGGATTTTTATAATTTTCCTAGAAAAATGAAATCGTACTATATATTACTATTTGAAGCATATTTTTCCATTTAAAACTTTTTTTTGGTTTTCATTATAGCTTTTTATTACACAAAAGAAAGAATAGTGTAATGAACCCTCCTAATTCTAGCTTCAGCAATTACCAACATTTTGCCAATTTTACAACTCTTTTAAAACCAAAAGTTAGAGTTTTTGTGCCTTTCAGATTACATGATTCCATTTTTTCCTGGCAACAGCCCTGTGAGGTAGGGATGATTATTCTACTAGATGGGCAGGTAACATCTGAGATTATTTTACTGGTGGTGGTGGACTCAGGACCTATGCTTTTTTCATGGCCCCATAGAGTCTACATATTTCATAATTGTAAATCAAAAATAAAGTTGGTTAGTAACCCGTGATCTCTCAAATATATTATAGAAACCACATTGTTCTCCAGGAAACTGCACAGCATGCCACCAGGTTCATAGCTCTGGCAAATGTTGGAAATCCAGAGAAGAAAAAGGTAAAGACTTGAATATTTGGTGGTAGCTTAATATACACTGTCTGCCTGTTAAAAGTTTTTCTTGCCCAGTTTAGCACTCAGATCTTCTCTTCTCCTCTACTACAAGATCCAGTACCTCAGTGACTCCTTTTCAAAGATGCAGTAATGAAAGGTCGGGTTTCCTTTGGTCCTTTCTTAGAGATTTTAGAGAAGGTTTTTCCACTGGAAAATAGACAAAATTTCAAAGGAATGATGTTCCTTTCTTCCCACATCCATGTGCTTATCTCTGAGTGTTTGTGGGTTTGCCCTTATATGGGTACACTTGCTTTGCTTCTTTTAGCAGGAATAGTAAAATTCTCTTGAGGATTTACCTAAACCCTCCTTGGTTTTGGGAAACCTTAGTGATATCTGGAATCTCTTTTTACTGGAAAACAGTACAGGCAAATGAAAGAGAATATATTGGAAAAGTATGTTATTTTTCTCACTTTCCTGAGAGCATTTCTGATTTCCTAAAGCCAAAAGTAGAATACTGTGGATTAAGAGAGCTAAGATCAGAACAGTCAATCAAGTGGAAAGATACATAGGTAATTAATCTGAAGATTATTCCACTATAACATGGCATAAACAATGTATATACAAAAGATGAAAAATTACGTACTTTATTTTTTCCATAATATTTTAAGCTTTTAAGTTCAGTGCATTCGTAGCAACATTAGATTTGTGGGGTTTTTTTACTGCCCTTAAAAGACCAAATAGCACTCTCAGGGACATGTTAGCTTCAACCCTAAGCAACTCATACTTCAAAGAGTATGCACATTTTAAAATCTGGCAAGCATTATTAAATTCACCTCAAAATCTTGTTCCGATTTATACTCTCATTAGCAGTGTATGAGCTTTTTTTTCTATTCACATTCTCACTAGGTAGTGTCAAATTTCTATTAAAGTTTTTGCCAATCTCATAGATAAAAGATGGTGTATCATTGTTAATAAGTTGCATTTTCCTGATCAGTAGTGAGGTTAAGCATCTATTCATATCTCATCTAAAGTTTTTCATATCTGTGCCGTTAGCCTGAGATTCTAGATATCGATATGAATATTTACTTCTTTGCCACTAGCCTCCAAAAGAATTTATCAACATCTATAGCAGACATTGTATAATAGAGGGAAACACTAAGTTGTCCAATTTTATTTTCATTAGAATAAAAGAATGGCAGTGCCATAATTCTGATGACAAAGTACACACAAAGATAAAGGAAATAGAGGCAGAAACAGTTTGTCTTCAAGCGTTATGGAGCAAGTCCCCCTGGGCTTTGTAGTGATGGTGGTTTTGTGTATGGGCTAATTTTTTAAGGGCTGGGGCTTTGATTTGTTGCTTGTAATTTCCACAGCCCTTGGTTAGCCTGCAGAGATCACTGAGTTAACATCTGATATGCTCTCTATTCTCTGAACTACAGACAGGCCAGTTGCTGCTCTTTTAGCTTTATTCAGTTTCTGAAGCTTTCTATGAAGTATTCACAATAAGATAGATTGGTTACATTTACATAAACAGTATTTTCCTTAATGTTTTTTTTTCCTCTCCAAAGTATCTTTATGCATTCAGTATTGTTCCCATGAAACTAATGAATGCAGCAGACTTGGTGAAACAACCTCCTGATGTGACTGAAAACCCTTACAGGAAGACCGAGAAAGAAGCATTCACAGGAAAGCAAATTCCTACCCCTGAGGTATGTTCTAATTGAGAGGTGGCATTTTCTGGTCAGGATTGCCTAGTATAGGGGTAATTTCCTGGTTATAGTTTAGTTTATAAGGCAAGTTTAATCCCAAGAATCTAAATCTTTTTCTTTTCTCTTGGCAAATCACTGTGATGTTTAGGAAGCCTTAGATTATAAGTAAACTTAGTGTTTTTTATTATGATTTGGGGTAAACAGTTTCATATTTTAAGTCTTTTATTTTTGTCTAAATTTGGTTCATATGTTGGGGTTATATTAACTTTTTCAAGTTAATTCTCTATTTTTGTTAGCAAGGACTCAACTGCTTGATAGCAATGTGATTTGTGATTTTTTTAATGAGTGTTAGTAGGTAAGTAAGATTCACTGAAGAAATTTCTTAACAGGCTTTTTAAAAATTAATTTTTCCCTTATTAAAACAAGGAATGTCAAGTTCCCTTATACTAGTACACATGGTCTTCCTTTCTCAGACTTTTTTTTTGAGCCACCTTCTCATCTTTTTGATTAAAGCTCAATGGGACTTCTTTGACCTCTGAAATTGTAGGACTCACTATGGCCTATTGAGAGAATTTGGATGGGTTTATAGTCTGTTTTAGGCAAGAATTGCTCTATAGCTTGCATTTTAACTTGCTTTTCCAACAATATGAATTGGATGGTAACTTGGATAAGTGTTGAGAAGAGTATGACTGAGAGGCCAGGTATTAGGACTGGGAAGCTAATTTCCTTTTCTAGGATAGTCAGAAAGGGCTGGGAGGAGAAGTAAACATGACATGGCAGGAACGTTCCTTGAATGTGAATGGCTACTTGTCTAATGGTTATTAGTTTAATAACACTTAACTATTCTGCTGTTGGCCATTCCAGGAAGAGTCTGCATGCCAATTTTTCTTTGATTTAGATGGAAAGCACGGAAAGAAGCGTTCATCTACAGGTAGAGACAGCAAGTCTTCCCCTCACACAAAGCAGCCTTGCAAACTTCGTAAGTACCTTGGTCCCAGAGGTCTGCTATGTGAGTGACAACTGTTATTTTGAGTCTCTTAGCAGTATTGCTAAGAGAACATCTTCTGGTAGAGGAAAACTGTACAATGAGTCATTAGGACCAAAATTAGAATAAAATAATACTAAGATGGCCTGACTTAGAGGCTGCCTGAGGCTATTCCTATAAGAACTAAGGAAAAAGCTCCTTTTTTTTCCTTAGGTCTGTAAAGCATGAGACCTAAAGAGCCTACAAAACCTACAAAAATAAAGGTTCACAAAAGAATAATCAAACTGGTAGAAAGGACTTTAAGGCTATTTTGTTTAGATCCTCTTTATCTACTCCCTTGTTTCAAAGATGAAGAAGCTACCTTGGGAGGGTAAACTTATTACCCAGGGTCATGCGGCTGGCTAGTGGCAGAGCTGGAATGAGAACCAGAGCTCCTGACCCCCAGTTCAGTGTTCTTTCATTGCAGCCTGCTACCAGTTATATGCCACCTTAGTGTGTGGTTGTCCACTTGTGGATCACCTCACCTACCTGTGGATTGTTTGCAAATTCAGAACTTTCCTAATAAAGGTTTGGTTTCATGGGTGGAGGGAGGGTGGTGGTTACAGTGGTAGCACAGCATGTTCCAGCTCACTGTGGCAGTGCTCTATACCAGTCTTTGCAGGCTCTAAAGATCACACAAGACTGAGTTCTGTAGGATGATTATATGCTGGAGTGTGTGGACCATGATAATGTTTGCTTTCTTCCACATGAAGCTTGGCCTCCAGGACCCTGTTGGTTTTGTCTTGCCAGCCCTGAAGTGGAAAAGCATTTGGTGGTCAACATTGGCACACATGTGAGTTACTTCCAAGGACCTTTTACAGAGCAGGAGACTCCTGTTTCTTTTTTTATTAGCTTTATTGAGTCATAATTTACATATCATAAAATTTACCCACTTGACGTATACAATTCAGTGATTTGTAGTAAGCTTATCAAATTGTGAAGCCATCCCATAATACATGTCTGTCATCCCAATAAGATTCCTCATGCCCATTTACAGTTAATCCCCATTCCCACCCTCAGCCCCAGACAACCACTAGTTTACTTTTTGTTTCCATACATTTGGTTTTCATGGATATTTCCTATAAGTGGAATCATACCACATTTAGTCTTTGGATCTGGCTTCTTTTACTTACCATAATATTCTTGAGGTTCATCCATGTTGTAGTATGTTTTTTTTTTATTGCTTTTTTTGTCAAACACTATTCCATTGTATGTATATACTAGATTTTGTATATAAATTCATCAGTTGATGGACATTTGAATTGTCTCCACTTTATGGGTATTAGTAATGCTACTGTAACTTTTGCATGCATCTCTTTATGTGGACATACATTTTCATTTCTTTTTGGATAGATGCCTGGGAATGTAATTGCTGGTAAATTTATTTTTTACCTTTTTAAGAAACTGCCAAACTGTTTTCTAGAATGGCATCTTATAGTCCTACCAGCAATGTATACGGGCTCCTGCTTTTCCATATTCTTGCCAACACTTGTTATTGTCTGACTTTTTGATTATAGTAATTCTCCTGTAGTTTTGTAGTGCCAGTTTCCCAAGATTGCTCCCTCCCTTCCATCCTCTCTGACAAATCAGTGTGATGCTTTTGTATACTCTTGAACTCTTTGTATTTTTAGTCCATATTACTTGGGAATGATGAATTGCTTTTATTAATTACTACTTAAAATAGGATTTTCATTATCCTAAAAAGGGAGTCCTCTGTTGTCTGTATACTTACACTCGTAAACATGTTGTTGATGTTCTTTTTTTCTCTTTGGATTCAGAAACCTGAGTTTATTCACTTTTACCTATAATTATGTAGTGCTAGGAACTGATTCTCAATTAATTATAGACTAAAGTGATAAATTTAGAGTTTTGCTTGGTAGTTGAAGATACAGATTCCTAATGACAGGAATACCCATATCTTCATTCCTGGTATGGGTATCTAGGAATCCAAGATAATAATTATAAAGTTGCATGGTCAGCACTGAGTCAGAGTATGAGAACTAGATGATCTTGAGGATGATTTTATTCAGGCTGTGGAAAACTGATGAATTACGTGTGTCTCACAGTAAAGTCATCCTATTTCAGATTTCCCCAGATACTTTTCCTTGGGCAGGGCTTAATTAGGTATAAAATAATACTAGTCTTTGGCACTCATTTCCCTGGAATCCAGATAGACCATTAATCCTTTTTTCATTCACTCAGAATAAAAAAAGTTTATTTTTCAGGGTTATAATTGTATTCTAGTCACCCATAACTAGAGTTGGCTATTTCCTAAGGCTGCTGAAGGAAATACTTACAAACCATTTCTTAGTGTGGGGTGCTTCTGCAGACACTTTCATCTATTTTGTATTTATTTATTCTAATTTTGGTTTCTGGAGGTGATGATTTCCTCAATTTATTCTGAAAATCTGAGAGCCCTTTATTGTGACCTGACTAGAATCCCAATTTCATTTTACACTTTGTGACATCCCTCCCCTGCCTTTGTTGTTTCAGACTAAAGAGTCCTAATCGTTTACATACAATTTTTGTCTTGATTATTGGCACAGTCCCATCTCTAGGGGGAGCACTAGTGGGGTCAAGGCCTGTGGCACACTAGGGCCATGGAGCCTATGGTGGGAAGAAGGGCAAACCTGAGAAGCTCTTGCTTTTCTGTGTGCTTCCTCTTTAGTGCTACCTTGCTCTGGCCAAAGGAGGCTTATGTGATGACCATGTCCTCATCCTGCCCATTGGACACTACCAGTCAGTGGTGGAGCTTTCAGCAGAGGTGGTGGAAGAAGTGGGAAAGTACAAGGCTACGCTGAGGCAGTTCTTCAAGAATAGAGGGAAACGGTGTGTTCTGTTTGAGAGAAATTATAAGAGTCATCACCTCCAACTACAGGTAGGCAGTCTGTTCTCAGGAACTTGGAAGGGCCCTATGGGGACCTCGATATTGATAAATATTTAATTTCAATTAATATTCACATGTTTAACTCTAATATAAAATTAATTTTTTAATATTTAAAGTATTTAATATGAATTTTCACATCTATCTTTAAATAATGGTCATTTAAAAGGTTAAAGAGTTTCTCTTGATAACTCCAGCAGTCATAGGGAAGTGCATGGTCAGTACAAGTGAACAGCATAGATTTGTTTAGAAAAGGAATGGGTATTTGAAGGTTCCAAGAAAGATTTGGAGCTTGATAGGTAGAGTTTGGAAAAGAGTGGGTGATTTGTGTGAGACCCAGCAGTAGTGAAGGCTTAGAGGGAGGAAACAGTCCCAGAGCCTACATAAAGCTGGTAGCTCAGAAATTTGGAGCTTGTTCATGGATAATTGGTTTGTAGTTGTGGTGGTTTTCTTTCTGGCACATTTGTTAAGTTTTCAAATGGGCCTGACTCTACCACATATATCATATAGGAGCTGGTAAGGGCTTGATGACAAAGAAATTTTTTTCTAGCCTTATTTGCATCAAAGATTGGCTCCTACATGTAGCAGGCTATCTCATAAGTTTAAGTCCTTACAGACAGGCTGACACAGGCCTGTCTGGCCTGAGGAGAATCTCTGCTGAGGGGTGTTTCTCCACCCCTGTGATGGATTACTACTTCTTGGGGGCTGTGCAGGAAGTATGACCTCTCTGGGACCTCTACAAAGAATTTCTCCTATCTACCTTCACCATCTCCCCCCCAAACCCTAGGTTATTCCTGTACCACTCAACTGCTGTTCTACTGATGACATTAAAGATGCCTTCATTACCCAAGCACAGGAGCAACAGATAGAGCTGTTGGAAATCCCAGAGCACTCTGACATCAAGCAGGTGAAACAGGAGGGGAAGGTGAAGTTCAGGGAGAAGTAAAGATGTGGTTTCTGACATATTGAACCTGAGGTGTTATCAAGGTGGTCCAAAAATGTTAAAAGAGGTGGTGACAGTTAGGACCTAGAGCATGGCGTATTGATTAGCCTTGAGTTGATGCATTGCAGCAGTGTGTTATTGCTTTCCTGGAAGAGCAAGAAATTAGAAATTTCCTACAGTAAGAACTTAGAAGGATGGGTGCCACTGGGATGATTTTTGAAATATCTGCCAGTTTGGCTTTTTAAACTCCAGATCCACTAAGTGACTTGGGATCTGTACTGCTCACATCCTTTTTCTTGTGTTTCTAGACTGAACTCTTTGCCAATTTAAAACATATAAGAGATAAGCTAGGGTTTTAGATTTTAAAAGCACTATGTTCTCATATAACTCTGTTTACTTTAGATTGCACAGCCAGGAGCAGCATATTTTTATGTTGAACTTGACACAGGAGAGAAGCTTTTTCACAGAATTAAAAAGCATTTTCCTTTGCAGTTTGGAAGGTTTGTATTATTTTTCTTATTTTAAATGTATTTTCACTAGATCTATTATGTGCAAAGTAGTGGGCTGCATGGAAAGTTGAATAAAACATCAAACAGGAAACAGTCCTTGCTCCAAGGAATCTATAGTCTTAGGGCAAGTGAGGTATTTACAAATTTGACAGTAATGTAATAGATGTGAAAAGTCCCATAACAAAGTTTTAAGGAACAGTGTACTTTTGGAAATTCATAAAAGGGAGAGCTCATTTCCACTGATTGAAAGGCTTCAAGAAAGAGTTGACACAGCCTGAGAGACTGATTTAGAGGGCAAATATTGGTGTGTTGGCATTCTAGCCCAAGGGGGTGAATGCTCCTAGTGCTGGGTGCCAGGCACTGTGCGAAGAACTTTACATGAATTGCCTCGTTGAATCTTCCCAATTCTGTAAGGTAGTTACTCTTATTCCAACTTAACTAATGTGGAGAATGAGACTCTAGAGCAGTGCCCAGTACAACTTCCCACAGTGATGGAAATGCTCTATAAATCTGCCCTGTCCTATACAGTCATCACTAACCACATGTGGCTAATGTGACTGAGGAACTGAATTTTTAATTTGACTTAATTTTAATTAGTTAGGAGTTAAAATTTGAATAACTGTATCTGGCTAGTGGCTCCTATAGTGGCCCCCATGACTCTAGAGGGGTTAGATAGCTTGTCCATGATCACATATGGACATGATCATACAGTGGTAGGTTCAAGCCCAGACCTGTTCAACCCCAAAACATGAGGTCTTAACCACATTATTCTGTAAGGCCTAGATAAGGCTTCATTTTGCTCCCTATATCAGGCAGAATGTGACTGAAAAACCATACAGGGAGTGGTATAAATTTAGGCAAAGACTGAAGACAGGAAGCTGCCGACAAGAATAAATAGAGTATAGAGGGGAGTAGAAAACGTACAAACAGATTATTGGGTACTGCTGTCTGTGATTTGCAACTGCTTTTTTTCCAAGTTAGAGCTGAACTTTGAGTCAACCTTGAACCCTTCTTGCACTAACTTGGAAAGCCTCTAAGAGACTGCCACCATTGGATAAGTCCAGTAAATGTAGTTGTTTAAATTTTCAAAAAAAACCCCTGATAAATGAGAACAAGTTTATTAGGGACTTCAAACATCTGACATTATCTTTTTGTTGCTGCCTCAGCAACAAATGTAGATGTGGACACTGGTGACAGAGACACATGACTCCAGATGTACACAGGCACATAAGCCCTCAAAAGAGAGATTCTCTGAATGATTTTGTTCTCATGACAGCTGTATTTTCAACATTATTTTTCAAGTTATGTAGCATTTTATAGTTAACAAAATACCTGAAAAGGCATTTTTTCCCCCCTTGCTTACAAGAAAGATGGTTGTCTTCACTGAAGAAGTAGGCTCAAGGTTTGCCCAGGAAGCTAGAACTTGAGCCCAGATCCTCTGACTTTTAGAAGACTTGTGTTTGGTTTCAGCTCTTCTATTTATTGTAGCTTCAAAGTAGAAAGTGAACCATAAAAATGTGCAGATATTCTAGTATAGCAAAATAATTAAAAATAACTAAAAATACAAGGCAGAGACAGTTAGAAGGTAGCCTGTGTGGGAGTGTGTGTATGTCTGTATGTAGTTATTCTTTAGTCCTGAGCACCAGTATAAGTTTTGTTGACATTGAGTTTGTGCTCTTGTGCCTATGTAGGCCTGAGTCCCCTAGGAGAGGCAGAAAGTCAGAGCTGGGTATGACACTAGGTGCCTGAGTCAGGCCCTCAGCAAACTCATGGTGTAATTGGGATGACAAAACCAGTTTAAAGCAGGATGTAAGCACAACTAGTTTGGTGCCTTGACTGTGTTCTATCCATACCTCACAAAACCCTTACTTTGCATTTCATTGGTGAGAAAATCAAGACTTGGAGATGAAGTAGTCTGTTCAAGTTATAGACAGCATAGAATGAACCAAGTTTTTGATCTTTCTGATGTCAGGGCCTGCCTAGTCTCTTTATACTGTGCCATGCTGCTTCTCTAAGTACCAGTAATGCAGTTACAAGTTGTTTTGAGAGAGAGAGAAGTAATGGGGCTCAAGGGGTTAGGGAAGAGGGGTAGGACCAGAGCTGGTTATTTAAAATGATTATGCTTTTGATACACAGAGTAGCAGAAGTAGCACTCAGGGCAAAAGAAAATGATAGGAGCAGACAGAGAAATTTGTATACTTTGGGTGATTCTGAAGAGAACTCTCTGGCTGGAGAGGAACAAGAGGGAGGAGGGGGGCTTGGGGCTGATACTGTGCATTTGGACTTCTTTGTGCTCTTTGTGCAGGGAGGTCCTGGCCAGTGAAGCCATTCTTAATATTCCTGACAAGTCTGACTGGAGGCAGTGTCAGATCAGCAAGGAAGAGGAGGAGACTCTGGCTCTTCGCTTCCGGAAAGACTTTGAGCCCTTTGACTTCTCTCTGGATGACTAAGCAAGGGGAAGGGCATTTACGAATTTGACAGGAAGTAGTAGCAGCCTGTTTTTTAAAGAAATCACAGTTCCCGTGGGGACTATTTCTCTGCCTCTATTTTGTGCATTCCCATGGAACCTGCCTGCAGCAAGAGGCCTAAGATTGAGTATTTTTTTGAAAAAGTTACATCATAGGATGAAAATCTTATGTTGAAAACATGTCTGTCATCCAGCTCCAGCTTATGTTTATCAGCATTTTCACATACATTTAAACAATGAAATAAAAATGCAAATGCTTTTCCATAGTTGGGAAGTGTCTTGTGTTCATGTTACCCATGACCTTTGAAATGAAATGGTATGTATAATAGGAGGGACAAAGGTTTTAGGCTCAACTGCTGTTAATCCTAGAATCGCACAGGTAGTTTCTCCCTGAGCAACCTAGGGTGGAGTAGGGACCCAAGGCCTTTGTTATTTTTCTCTTACATCATTCATCTCATTGATAAAAAAAAAAAACCCAGCTCTTTCAGACCTTCAGCAAACACAACTCCTATGTGCCAAGCATTTTTCTAGGCTTCAGGAGTATAGCCATGTCCCAAAATGGTCCTGTTGTCCCAGAGTTTACAGTCTAATTGGGAAGAGAAGGGGCATATTTAAGAAAAGGAAATTAATTCTGCTTCGAATAGATTGAGGTTTAGGGTACTATCGGATAGTTCTAAACTCATGGAGACCTGGGTTGGTGATAGGGCTTTGGGGCACATCAGGGTGTAGACCGCATGTGAAATTACAAGAATGGTGAATACAGTCCCAAGGTGAAGTGACTACCTGAGAATTATCACTGTTTAAGGAGTCCTGGGAAATAGAGTGATCCAACAAGTACATGGACAAGGAACAGAGAGAACGCAGAACAATGTGTTATCTTGGAAGCCAAAAGAATGTAATTGTTCAAAAAAATATAATATGTGGGGCACTTATGGTCCAGACACTGTTTCACTTAATCCTCATAAAATCTCTATGAAGTAGTTATTACTACCTCCGTTTTACACATGAAAAAACAGACTCACAGACTTGAAGATTGGAAAGAGGTCAATTCTCCCAGGATTTAAAAAAGCAGTACCCAGTCCCTGAAAATGTGGATGTTCAAGGACTGAAAAGCAACCTGGTTCCTGCAAAGATGGCCATTTTAGGGTCACCGTAATCATCAGTGTCTCAGGTCTTCAACATCCCTCCCATACTCTTCTAAGGTAGTATTTTGGGATTTTGGCCCCACCTGTGGAGATCAGACACACTCTGGTGCTTGCTTTGCAGTACACCTAGCACATGAAAGGGCCTTACACTGTTAGAGCTATCTGCACCACATCTGTTGTCTGCCCAGTCTAAGAGACGTGGTCTTTGTGTACTGTTTGCCATCACCTCCAAGTCTGACACTCCAGCTCCATGGCTACAAGCAAATATGGGAAATCACACACATATTACCTATGATGACCTACAACACAACTGGGTTTGTATCATGTAGTTCTCATCATTCTGGTTGCACTATTCAGCACTTCTGGTGATAACAGACTCATCTGCTTTGCCAAAAGCCTATTCAGTGCTTTTGAAGCATCCAGCAACATTGCTGTGGTGCGCATGCTGTATCTACGTTTAGATATTTCAGCATGTTACATGTTACATGCTGTGCACAACTGTGTGTCACAAAATATTATTTGGAAAGCTAAGTGCTGGGTTCACAGGCCCAGCTGTGCAAACAATGGTCCAAATGTACATGATCTCAAAGGAGGCTCAGGTGACCACTTAACCGCACCTGACATTTCTTCAGAGGATTTGATCCCATGCTGATTGTTATACCTGGAGTGACTGATGAGGTTCCCAAGTTCTATGAGGCTGAGGCATATGACTGGCTCAAAGCAAAAGCTAAGGAGATGGTTCTATGCTCAGGCAATCAACCACTCAAACACTTCTTGCATCAACAGCATTCCCAAACTTTGTCTCTGCAACCCTGCATCAGAGACAATCCCCACAATGAGTAACTATTGCATTGGAAGATTGCTTGACAGCAAGCTCCATGAGGCATTTTGGGAAAAGCTCCTTAAGTCAGGAAGAACAGTCTTCACCTGGAACAACATCACGTCCCTGAGTCGTTTAGGATTATAGGGGAGATCCTGGAACAGGTGTACAGGAAGTAAAGCAAAAAAAGCACTGAGCCTGACTTGTGTACAAAGATACTTAATCATTTAAAAAAAAAAACAGAAAAAAGTGATATGGGAGCAACCTAAGTGTCCATCAGTAGATGAATGGATAAAGAAGATGTGGTACATATACACAATGGAATATTATTCAACCATAAGAAGAAAACAAATCCTACCATTTGCAACAACATGGATGGAGCTAGAGGGTATTATGCTCAGTGAAATAAGCCAGGTGGAGAAAGACAAGTACCAAATGATTTCACTCATCTGTGGAGCATAACAACAAAGCAAAAACTGAAGGAACAAAAAACAGCAAGCAGCAGACTCACAGAACCCAAGAATGGACTAACAGTTACCAAAGGGATAGGGACTGGGAGGATGGGTGGGAAGGGAGGGAGAAGGGGAATAAGGGGCATTATGATTAGCACACATAACGTGGGGGGAGGAGTACAGGGGGAGGCAGTATAGCACAGAGTAGACACGTAGTTGACTATAGCATCTTACTATGCTGATGGACAGTGACTGTAATGGGGTATGTGGTGGGGACTTGATAATGGGGGGAATCTAGTAACCTCAGTGTTGCCCATGTGATTTTATATAATGATACCAAAATAAAAAAGATGTAATAAAAAAAATGTGGTGCATATACACAATAGAATATTATTCATCCATAAGAAAAAGAAATCTTGCCATTTGCAACAACATGGATGGATCTAGAGGGTATTATGTTCTGTGAAATAAACCAGGCAGAGAAAGACAAATACCATATGATTTCACTTATATGTGGAATCTAAAAACAAAACACAACAAAATGAACAAAACAGCAGTAGACTCAAGACACTGAGAAGTGTCAGGTGGTTAACATTGGGAGGTTGAGGGGGATAACGGGGCATAAAAATCTCAGTCATAATAGAAGTTGGTCATGGGGATGGAATTGCTGCATGGAGAATATAGCCAATGGTTCTGTAACATCTTTCTATGTTGACAGTAACTGCATGAGTTGGGGTGAGGATTTAATGTGTGTAACTGCTGAACTATTGTGTTGTATACTTAAACCAATATATATCTACTATGCTCAAATAAAAAAAGTAAATAAGTGGAACACAAAAAAAATCAGGCTTTTGAAAAGTACAAAAATACTAACACTGGACCACAGAAACCTTTGGAATGGAACATGAAGTCTTCTTATGATACCAATAGATCTGAACATATAAATCACAGTATTCCAAAATTTTAGGGACCAGGAAAGAATGACTGCTCCATTTTGTTATTTAGCATGCTTTCATTAGGAGAGCTGAAATTATTAATGTCAAGTGGTTCTTGTGAAGAGACTTGTAAGGATTCCTCTCCTGCTTGAATCTTGGACCCTTCCCAGCAATGTCACATCAGTTTACTTCTACAGAGATTTTGGGATTCCTGTCCTCAGTAGTGTCAGCAAAAAATTATCTCCATTTAACTCCATTGCTCTCAAATGCAACCTGGTTTTGCACTGAAACTCACTGAAAAATGTATTCACAAAAGAACATACAAAAGTATCAAACACAAGAAACACCCCCACCCCCGCTATATCCACTAATAAATCTGTTTGGATAAAAACAGACAACACCCTTCTTGAAATAGTAAACATTTATGTAATAGAACAGCTTCTGTGATGGGGTATATGATAATAATCTGGAAAATGTTTGTTTTCCCCTCAAGATCTAATTTAAAGGCGTAACTTAGAAAATATAACTGACCCTCTAGTTATGATTTCAGTCTAGCAATATGCTGACGATGGTTAAGTGCAGTGATGAAACTTGTATAATTTGTGCCTACCAATTCCTTTCACTTAAACTGTCATCAATAAAACTCATCGTTAGAAACAAAAAAACCTAATCGGACAAGTGGCCTCTATCCTTTATTTCACACTAAAAAAAAAAAAAAGAAAAAAGTGAACTACAAAGTCTAACACATCAGGCGGCCTATTAGATGAGGATTTTTTGAGTTCTTCGGATTCCACAATATTTAAACTACTGGCCTTTGCCAGTGCCAGCTTGGTAGGTGGTGGGGTTGGAGGATAGATGGCAGAGGTGTAAAGAAAGGTGAAATGTGGACAGGGATGGAGACGAGGTGAAGTTTAGAAAAGACATTACGGGAAAGACTGGTTGGGAAGGTGATTTGAATAGAAGGTGGTTTCTGGAGAGATCTGACATTTTTGAAAACTGGAGAAACAGTCTCCTGTTTTTATCTCTCAACCAGGAAAATGCCCGGGGCATTTAGGAAGCCGACAAAAACGCTAGCCGCCAACCCGCAGCGTTTGGTCGGCAGGGCTCCAGCGGCCTCCCAGGAGAGATTGGGGGCGGAGCTTTTACCGGAAGTGACGCACATCTCGCGAGAAGGAAGACGCGCAAGCCTCAGCGGCCCGGAACCGGCCTCGGAACAGTGGCGGACCCTAAAGCTGTTTGCCCTCCCGCCCCATGGAGTGGCCCCCAGGGCTGCGGCCGGGCGCGGGCGGGCCCTGGGAGATGCGGGAGCGGCTGGGCACCGGCGGCTTCGGGAACGTCTGCTTGTACCAGCATCGGGTGAGGTGGGGCGCGAGAGGGAGCGGCGGTGGGTGTTTGTCAGAGCGTCTGTGAAACAGCTACTACCAGTATATGAGAGATTCTCGGTGAGATCTTGGGCAGTGTTGTGGCCAGTGAGCCTGAGTATGTGTGTGTTTGAGATACTGAGTTGATACTGAGAGACTGAGTTCGAGGTTGTGTCTGAGTTCCTGGGTCTCTGTGTGTGAGGTAGTTTTTAGGGGGAACCTCTGATATGTGTCAAGATGTGACCAAGTGTTTACTGAGTGTGATAGTGTGTATGTTCCTCTCTGAATGTAGAGGGCGTCAGGTGTGTAAGGCACATGTATATTGTGAGTATGAATGTTTGAGAAAATGGGGGGGCTGTATGTTGGAATGTGTTCCTGTGTGTTTGCTTCTAGGCCATGTTATCTCAGTAGGGGCTGGAGTAAACAAGGAAGGTTTCATGGTAGGTACACAGTCAAGCTTTTGAAAGCACTTGGTAGGCTTTGGAATTGGGGATGTCTTCCAGGTAGTGAACGGTATGAGGATCAGCTGGTGAAGGATCATGGTTTCACAAGGGAAGGAGATAGATTGGGAGTGCGGTGCTCTAGTCGGTGGAAGACAGCAAACATCAGACTTGAGATGTTGCTTTAATCGAAAACATTTAATCATTGTAGCAGCAGTTAATAATTATGCTTGAGCTATGCGTTTTTTGATACACCAATAAAAGCCACGAACCCTTTCCCCAGAAAAATGTACAGGTGCACATCCACACAATCTTATGCATTACCGTTTGAGGGAGTTTATGCTTTCTTGAAGGATATTCACAGACCTTTTAGATGTATCGACCCTGGACCAATAATAATTCTTGCAGTATAGCCTGTGTTCTGTTACCTGTAAAGTGGTTTTAATAATGTGTATACATCACGGGTCTGTTTTAAGAGTTAAAGAAAATAATGCATGTAAAGCTAAGTACAGTACCCACCCATGATAAGACCTCAGATGTTAGCTCTTGCTCTGCTGTGTTGTTGCTGTCATGTCCTCATCATTAATTGACCATCATCATCATCATCATCATCATCATTAACTGACCTTAAAAACAGAAATGTCAAGATTAAAGTGGCCTCAGAAGATTTTTTTTTTTATAAAAGATAAATCTGACTGGAAAAAACATGAGACTGGAAAAAAATATGAGACAAGATGAGCAGTTAAGGTATTACTAAAATGCTTACAGTTGGCCTGTGAGTGGTGAAGTGAATTCAAGAGAAGAAATCAGGACTTTCTGTCTTAGGGAATATGGGTGTGAGTAGAGAACCCATAATCTGTAGAGTGGGTGGTAGGGGAGATGGGAGTCTGTCTACCTGGGAGGAATACGCATGTTTGTGTGGCAGTTACAATGACAGATGTCTCTGATAGAACTGATGAAATTTTGTGAAGCAGGCTTCTAAACAGAGCTTGGAAGGAAATCGTGGAGAGAGGGAAATGGAAGATGAAGGACTAAGGCATTAAGTACTTTGACAGCCAGACAAATAGTAAATTTTATCATTTACACCATCAGAGAGGATCTAAGACCCTCAAAGAGAAAAGTGGGAGGGCCAGGTACTTCCAGTGGGATGTTGCCTGTGGCCTTGTTATCTAAGCCTGCCCATCACCTAGTTTCAAGAAAATAAAGTATGCATACTGGCTGCTTTTTTGACTGCTTTTCTTGATCCCTGGCTTGGAATGGATGAATACATAAGTTTTCTTTAGATTGCAGTAAAGTATATATTACAAAATTTATGTTAACCATTTTTAAGCACACATTGACATTGTGCAACCATCACCACTATTTCCAGACGTTTTTCATCTTCCCAAAATGAAACTCTGTAGCCATTAAACAGTAACTCCGCATTCCTCCCTCTCCCCACCACTGGCAACCACCATTCTATTTTGTGTCTCTATGGAATTCAACACTTTTTAAATGGAAGTTATTTGAGTTCCTCTAGAATCTTAAAAATCTTTCAGGAACTTTCCAGGTCTCCAGAGTGACTCATCCTTAAAACTGGGACATTTGACAACTGGGCCTATAGTGAGAAGAAATACTCTGTCTTAAGACTTGGAAATAGCATCATTACTTTTCCAGGCATGATTTAGGGTTTGCACTTAACAGCTTTCAGGATCCTTGTGTTTTGGTGGAAGCCATATCCCAGTATTCCATCTATATATCTCTTGAGTCAATGAAGAAGAGAAAGGATGTAAAATAGTTTATTTAGCTGATAACTGTGTGGGGTACTGATGGTGCCCAAATTTACAAGGACAGTATTTTTTGCCCCCAAGGAAATTTCAAGTCTAATGGGAGAGGTAGACACAGACACCCTTTAAGTAATATAGTAACCTGTATAATGAATGTATTTGTCAAGTGATATGGATCCATGGCAAAATAACCAAGAACTCTTCCTGGGGAAAATAGGGTAGCACTTTTCAAAGTGTGTTTGGAAAAACTGATCCTGTGAAATGCTTTGAAAAAAGGGTACTATGGTCAAATACATTGGGTAAATGCTCTGTGTAATGTTCTTTCATTTGGAGAGTGTTAACCTACATTAGTGTATTAAAAGCTCTGAAAAGGCCTGTAGTAAAGACACTGTTAACTTAATATTTTCCAGGGTTTTTTTCATTGTGATAAAATACACATTTACCATTTTAACCATTTTTAAGAGTATAGTTCTGTGGCATTAAGTACATTTTACACTATGCAACCATCATCACTATCCATCTCCAAGACATTCCCATTTTTTAAAATGCAGAACTTTTTAACATTCTGTAAACTTTCCACAGAATATTCTTTGTGAAAAGGCTGAGTGAGGAGGGCCTTCACAGAGTAGATGAAATATAAACCAATTGAAGGATCTTATAGGATGAGATCTTTTTAAATGGATAGCTTCCTACCTCAGTCATATGAAATTTAGGGCTTAATGTTATTCATGGTTGTACCAGATTGTCTCCGTGGTGGTAGAAGCTTATATGAGACCTAGCTACAACCAGGTACCTGCTCAAAACAAAGGAAAGGTTGAAGAGAGTGAGGACTGAGGTTAGGCTAGACTGTAGTGTATCCTAGTTCCTTTCTTCTTTCTCTGTGTATCTACTCTTTTATCTCTTAACTTCTCCTCTCACCCACTCCACCCCCATCAGACTATCCCATGTGAGTTATGTCTTGTTTCCTCATCTGTATATTTTTTTCCCTCATGTTTGTTCCTGACTTCTGTTCCTGGGCTGCATTTTTATTGTTGCCAGAATGTGATAGATCTGGCTCTCCCTTGTAATGTGCATCAGGTTGGGTTCAATTTTAGTCACAACTGGCTAAATTACTAGTGATTATTTAGCCAGAGCTGTTAGGTATCTATTTGTAAATATAGAAACAGAAATATAGTCATTGTTAGTATTTTCTTAAATGTCGCTTGAAATGCAAAGATTTGGAACTAATTTTGGAGGCTTTTGTATTAGGTTTGGTCATTTCTTGCTGTTGAGTCCAGGGACCTCTGAGTTATCCTCTTCATTCTAGTTATGAAGGATAATAGGGTCCTTGTTAGCTGTCTTAACTAAGTTCAAAAAGAAGTTTGTAGGGTATATATATTTTTCTATATACCTTTATAGCCTTAGTTACTTTTTGCCTTTGTGCTTTGGTGTGTTTGAAGGTAAATTTTAAAGCATTGCTTAAATAGCCTTATGGTTTACTTACCAAAAGCATTTGCTCCAAAAGTAGATAAATATGTTTAATTACTAAAGCTAAGGAGTTTTGTTTTCCCAGCTTGGCATTTCTTTGATGGTAAGTAAATCTGCATGAGAATCTAACTTATATTTTTTTCTGTTGGTTTTCTATTTTGGCAGGAACTTGATCTCAAAATAGCAATTAAATCTTGTCGCCTAGAGCTTAGTACCAAAAACAGAGAACGGTGGTGCCATGAAATCCAGATCATGAAAAAGTAAGTATACTCGATGACTCGTTTCCCCAGTTCTGCAGCCCAGCCAGAAGATGTCATCACAGGGAAGGAGGCCAGGAATCCATTCTTGTCAGAATCTTTTTAGAAGCATATTTTCATCCTTCCTGTTAAATATATATGTTCTATTTCAAGTAATAACATCACATTATGATTAGGTAGGTTTAGTTTAAAAAGTCAGCTAGGTCTCATCCGACTCAGTTCTCTGAGGGCAGAATCTATTCCTTCTGTATCTTGGGCAGTGGTTATCTGTTGTACTTTCTAGTTAAATAGCAAGCACTGCTCTCATTTCTTTACTCTCATCTACTTTTATTAAATAGTGTATCTATTGCTTTGTAAAAATTACCCCAAAACTTAGTGGCTTAAAACAACAATTTACTATCTTATAGTTTCTGTGATTTACGAATTCAGGAGTGATTTAGCTGAGTGGTTCTGACTCAGGATATCTCTCCTGACACATCCCAAAATGTTGACGGGAGCTGCAGTCATCCAAAGGCTTGAGTGGAGTTGGAGGAATGTGGCTAGAGGAATCACGTCCTCATAGGGGCCTCTCCCTAAGGAAGCTTGAATGTCTTTATGACATGGCAGCTAATTTTCTCCAAAGTGCATAGTGCATGATTTGAGAGAGACAGCAAGATTAAAGCTGACATATCTTTTATGATCTTTCCTTGGAAGTCACTCTCCATCCTTTCTGCCACATTCTATTTGATAGAAATGAATCACTAAGTACAGCTTACACTAAAGGGGTGGAGAAGTAAGCTGTTGAAGGGAGAAGCGGATGTATTTGGAAACCTCCACAGATAGGCTGCTAAGTGCTTTACAAGTAATTCTTCTAATTGTCACAGCAATGCAGTATTTTGCAATCCTATTTTATAGATGAGTAAGTTGAAGCTCATGGAGTCATACAACTAGTAGGAATAGAGACTGGATTTGAAATAGGCACTTTCTGGCTCCAGTATTTGTTCTTAATTCACTTTAATGGTTTTCAAACACGGCTATGTGGTAGAAACACCAGGAAAGCTTGTTAACAGTATAAATTCTCAGGCCCTGCACACGGAGTTTCTGTTTCTTTAGGTTTGTAAGACTGGGAAATTTATTCCAGTTTTGAGATCTACTGCATGATGATGATGATGATGATGATAATGATGATTGTGATAATTTATTGTTAAGAAAAAAAGATATTAGGAAAAAATATATAGTGTAATTCAATACTTTTTGAAAAAAATGTATTTGTGTACAGGTTAAAAACTGGAAGGATATATGCCAATGTTTTAATAGTATTCACCTCTGGGTAATATTATATTATAAGTGATTATGGGAGAGCCAGTATGATACAGGCTTTGGAGCTTAGACTGCCAGATTTGAATCCTTACTTGACGGCCTGCTTGCTGTATGATCTTACGCTTATTTGTGTTTCAACTTTCTCCTGTGTGATAGACTATTAATAAATCTACCTATAGTAGGATTATTGTGACAAGCAAATAAGTTAATGTGTTTATTGCTTGGCACATAGAAATATAATAGTAATGATAGTGACAGTATTTTTATCTATATTTTCTTTTTAAAAATTATTAATTTTTAATTATACAAATGAGAAATTAGAATATTATAAATAATGCTAGCTTTTCTTCCTGTCATTGCTTCCCAATTAACTACCATTTCAAACCCAATACCTTTTCATTAGAAAAAAATTTTGATTATAATGTTTTCCCCTTCTTGTTAGGTTGAACCACGCCAATGTTGTAAAGGCCTGTGATGTTCCTGAGGAATTGAATTTTTTGATTAATGATGTGCCTCTTTTAGCAATGGAATACTGTTCTGGAGGAGATCTCCGGAAGGTAGTGTTGATGTCTTGAAATGATGAGATAGTAGATCATGAACTTTAGTAGTGTTTGAACCACATTCATTATGATAATCTAGACTAAGGGTCATAAACTATGGCCTGTTACTTGTTTTTATGGCCACTTTCTTATTATAGGAGCAAAGTTAAGTAGTTGTGGCAGAGACTGTGTGACCTGCAAAGCCAGAAATATTTATTTCTGTCTGGCCTTTAATAGAGAATGTTTGTTGACCCCTGATTTAGACCGTGCATTTTATTTTTTATTGGTGGTAGTATTTGTAGGATGGGACTATACTGATGGTATTAGATAAAAATATCAGTGTTTAAGGTATTTATAAAAAAAGTTCTCGCCATTGCAAATCTTTCTTTCCTATTTCATTTTAAATCTGCCACATGGGTATCTGTATATCTAAATCTGTATATGGTTTTTCAACATTTTTTCAGTTTCAGTACTTTCCTCCATTATTTTTACTTGTCTAAGTCTTGTCATAAAATTTACATGTCCTCAGTATGGATTTGGTCATTTTTTTCTCTTAGATTTTCTTAATCATGACATTTTCTTATTTGAATATTCTTTTCGACTATAGTGATTATTGTGTCACTATTACTGTTCAGTATTATGGGCACTGCATTTTTAGATATCTTTTTTTTTCTTTAGCTGCTCAACAAACCAGAAAATTGTTGTGGACTTAAAGAAAGCCAGATACTTTCTTTACTGAGTGATATAGGTATGTAATCAATATGAAAATACCATCACAATTTAATGCCCCCTTGGTCCATGAAAGATTCTGTATACTACTTGGGAATTAAGGAGAATTATTGATGTACTATGCAAAGCACCAATTTTTTTTTTTCTGCTTATTTCTTTTAATCTTACAAAACAATGCCATAGACTGTGATAGGGCACATCCTCTCACATATACTCTTTTTTTTTTTTATTGGGATTGGAAAAGAAGTAGTATTCTTTATTGGTTGTGGATGGGTTTGACACATACACAATATGAAGTTATTTATATCTTCTAAATACCTGTTAATTTTTTTTTGTTGCTGTTGTCATTAATCTACAATTACATGAAGAACATTATGTTTACTAAGCTCCCCCATCACCAAGTCCCCCCCACACACCCCATTACAGTCACTGTCCATCAGCATAGTAAGATGCTGTAGAATCACTACTTATCTTCACTGTATTACACAGCCCTCCCCATGCCCCCCCCACATGCTAATTATACATGCTAATCATAATACTCCCTTTCTTTTTCTCTGCCCTTATCCCTCCCTTACCCCCATCCTCCCCAGTTCCTTTCCCTTTGGTAACTGTTAGTCCATTCTTGGGTTCTGTGATTCTGCTGCTGTTTTGTTCATTCAGTTTTTCTTTATTCTTACACTCCACATATGAGTGAAATCATTTGATACTTGTCTTTCTCTGCCTGGCTTATTTCACTGCGCATAATACCCTCTAGCTCCATCCATGTTGTTGCAAATGGTAGGATTTATTTTCTTCTTATGGCTGAATAATATTCCATTGTGTATATGTACCACATCTTCTTTATCCATTCATCTACTGATGGACATTTAGGTTGCTTCCATTTCTTGGCTTGGATTTATTTTCTTCTTATGGCTGAATAATATTCCATTGTGTATATGTACCACATCTTCTTTATCCATTCATCTACTGATGGACATTTAGGTTGCTTCCATTTCTTGGCTTTTGTAAATAGTCAAAGCACCAATTTTTGACATCTATAAGGAATTATCAGAAAAATTTAACTGTTACTCTTGATGCTGAGTTAAAAGTAGGATATTTTGTTATTTTTTGTTTTTGTGTTAGGAGTCCATTTTTGACTAATAGATGTTCTAGTTGCTGACAAAAAATGATGTAAAATGACCATATTCAATTTTATTTCCCCTCCCTCCTTGGTTATTATGGTTATTTTATTTACCAGTGTATTGCATTTCATAGCATAGGTTCTCAAGTCAACTCTTATGGTAAAATTTCTTTTCAATCAGAATTACTCCTGAAAAAGCATTAAAATAACCAGTACCTAGGCCCTTGGAGGAAGATCAAAAGCCAAAAATATGTTTCCCTATGTATTATGATTTTCCTTCTTTTCCTAGATCCTGGAGGCCAAAGTTTAGTTAAGAGAGTGATTTAGGTGGGAGGAAAAGGCTACCAAGGATAAATATAGGGATTTTTTTTTAATTGCTTGTTCCATTTTTTAATGTTAATTCTCATAGGTTAAATGAGCATACGATATAATTCTGCGGTATTTGTTTAAAGTTACTGGATTTTCTGTGGAGATTATCTGAACTGCTATAATGTCATTAATCATTTAGTACAATGGTCCATATAAATTTGAGCATCAGAGCAGATCTGTATAAAATGTAAGATGAATTTTTTTTAGTTAAATGTTTTCAATTACCTCAAAATGCATTTTAAACTTTATTTAGGGTCTGGAATCCGATATTTGCATGAAAACAAAATTATACATCGTGATCTAAAACCAGAAAACATAGTTCTTCAAGATGTTGGTGGAAAGGTAGGTGAAACCTGAAGAAACATTCCATGCTAGTTGAATATAGTCTCCCTTACATGTAGTTAGTCTTTGAGGTTTGGTGCCCTTCTATAGCACTCTATACTTTTTCTGTCCCAGCCCTCACTTCATTGAACTGTGGTTTTGTGTTTAGTTGTTTATGTCCTTTCTAACATAGTAGCTGCATCAGAGAACGAACTGCACCTGTCTTGTTCACTTTTGTTTCTCCAGCACAGTATTACTAGAGATAGCAGGCAGTGAGTGGTTTGTTAATCCTTATGAAGCACATCCACAAAACACACACATCCTGGGTTTGCTTTACTTTAAGAAAAAAAGTATGTTTACTTAAATAGTTTCTTATTTAAGAAAAAGCCTTTCAATTTTCCTCCCCCACATAAGCTCTATATTTAAAATTCAAAGCCTTGATTTCTCTGATTCTTAAATGAGTCATTTTGAGAAGAACCACAAATTGTGAATTGGCTCCTGAAGTATTTGTTTTCATCAGAATAATTTGAGCAGTTTTTTTTGCTTCTAGTACCCAAGTTCCACTCTAATAAAGATGTAAAACCAGGAGCCTGAACCTTGAATTAGAGTGGGCGGTCTTTAGTTAGTGAAGATGGTGGTCATTTGTAGGTGATGAAACCTTGCTAATGCTTCCTCACTTAGGAGTCTTTCAGGTATTGGCACAAACTATCTCTGCTCTCCCCCCACAAGACTTCAGGACTTTCTTAAGTTAGACAGGTGTTTGCTGACATTGATCCACTCTAATGCTTCTTCAAGTTTGGAAGTTACCCTTACTCTTGCCTTTCAGTTTAATGGACAAACTTTATTCTGAATATACCAAAATAAAAATTAATAGCCAATCTGTATTTTGTTTTTACTGCATACCAGGCACTGTGTTGAATTCTTTCACTATTTTCACTGAATCCTAATAACAATTCTATGATGTAGGGATTGTCAGTAATCCCATTATATAGGAAACAGAGAAATTAGGTAACTTCATCAAGATTACATCGCTAGTTAAGTGATGGAGCTCAGGCTTGGAATTCCACACATTGTGTTATTCCAGCCTTATGAGGACATTGTTGCTTTTTTTTCTCTCCAAATTTCTCAACCATTTAATGCTTAATTGTTTTGCAGATTGTGCATAAAATAATTGATCTGGGATATGCCAAAGATGTTGATCAAGGAAGTCTGTGTACATCGTTTGTGGGAACATTGCAGTATCTGGTAGGACATGTATTATTACTTTGAATATAAGTGTACAACATTCTCATTCTTATTTCTGGAGGTCATGAATATAGTAGTTCAAAAGTTAAGTAGCTTTTCTCTTACAGTGTTGACATTTAAGGCATTTTTTCTTTTGAAGGCCCCAGAGCTCTTTGAGAATAAGCCTTACACAGCCACTGTTGACTACTGGAGCTTTGGGACCATGGTGTTTGAATGTATTGCTGGATATAGGCCTTTTTTGCATCACCTGCAGCCATTTACCTGGTAAGAAATGGAAGAGAACATTGGTTCTCCTTGGTATGCTTAAGGGGAATAGAAATTTTCAGTTGCCTGCTTTTTCCCCTCTTCTCTCAAATAGTATAACCGCCTTTTAAACATATCATTGAATAAAATTAAATGGAAAATAATCAGAGTATTTGTGAGAATCAGGTTGTCAACTGAGGTAGCTTTTGTTTTTCTAGGCATGAAAAGATTAAGAAGAAGGATCCAAAATGTATATTTGCATGTGAAGAGATGACAGGAGAAGTTCGGTTTAGTAGCCATTTACCTCAACCAAACAGCCTTTGTAGGTATGTATGTTTTAGCTGAGGAAGTTCACCTCAGTTTCTTCAGGGTTGTAAGAGAACAGTAGAATCGTTGTCTGTTTCAAGCAGCATTGTCCAGTAGAACTTTCTGTGATGATGGAAACATTTTACATGTGGGCTGGCCACATGTGGCTGTTGAGCTCTTGAAAGATGGATAGTGTGGTGGAAGAACTGAATTTTAAATTGTTTATTTTAATTAACTTAAGAGTGAATGCAAATAGCCACTGTGGCTACTGGCTACCATATTGGACAGTGCACAGGTCTAGTAGAAACAATGACTGCTGCTATTCAGCTGATTGGCTTAGTGTGAAGAAAACTTTTGGGATACTGAAGTAAATCGATTCATTGGAAAAAGGAACAGGACTTAACCTGTTGAAATCACCAGTAGCTAACTTACATATCTGCATTTTGGGTTGTTTTATGGAGAAAAGTTTGTGTCATATGAATTATTTGAAAGTAAAATGCAAAGTGGTACAGATAAGTAATAAGAAAGGAAGTGAACAGCGTTTATAAAATTAGCCTTTTTTACAATACAAAAAAAATTGGAACATAATGATCTTCACCTAATTTTTGTATGTTTTCTAGTTTAATAGTAGAACCCATGGAAAACTGGCTGCAATTGATGCTGAACTGGGATCCTCAGCAGAGAGGAGGACCTACCGATCTTACTTTGAAGCAGCCAAGATGTTTTATATTAATGGATTACATTTTGAATTTGAAGGTTAGTTTGAATGGGGTCTACTTCACAAGCCTGTATTGAAGTTAACAAGTTTATTTGGAAAATGAGCATAAATATAGTTTAATAATCTTTTCCTGATGCTTATTTGAAAAAGGAAATTTTATTCTTAGAACTGATACATTTTTATTTCTTTAGTTAGCTTTTCTCAGTTTTATTTCTAAGTCTTTGTTGATTATTCCTTTGAAGCATTTTTTTCATTTTCCCTTTCCTCATGTTGGTGCTACTAGACCTCATTCATTTAAGTTTGATCATATTGGATTTGGTTTGGTGAGAAAGGTTCCTATCTTGTTTTCATACCTCTATACTTCTTCCCCATCCTATAGTCCATGCAGCAATGAACTGCCCATTTTATCTTCTGAAATGCTTTTTTTAATATTCATGTTGGAGAAACTAAAATAGTTTTTTCTTACCTACCAAGTCAAGTCTTAAAGTGAAATGCTTGGTCTTGTACCTGCCTCTCTTATCCTTTACTTTACTCAGGACAGATTGTCACTGCTCCTTATGCCATCAAACCTATTTCCCATTTTTGTGCTTTGACATATGCTGTCCTTCTGCCTGAATGATCTCTATCTTTGTATTTCCTCATCTACACTGGCACATGTTAACTCTCTTAATCTCTGAATGGGCTATGCCATACAGTTTGTCATTTAATCATATTTATTATATGCTTTAATTATTTCTCTAATTCCACTCATATAGATTTGTCTTCTTTGATTCTAAGATTGTCTTTACTACTTTTATTAACAATCACCCACCCTACCATGACACCACACCCCAGCATTCTGTACAAAACAGGGCATGTACCAGGTTCTCAGTAAATATTCACTGGTAAGAATGAGAGGCACTGCTAATGCTGTGTACCCAGGAACAACTCTTATCTGCAGTCTTTCTATGTTTATTAATTGCTTGTAGTAGGTAGGGTTTCTAAAATTGAAAAGAAATTATATAACGTTTGACCCTAATCTTGGTATACTCTATTAAACAGGAACTTGAGGTCATGTTTATGTCATTCTTGGTTTAATATTGAAAAGATATCTGGCTTCTTGATTTAGTTGTTTTCTACTGTGCCAAAGAATAAAATCATTCTTTAGGGTGACAGCCAAGCAGGAACTGGTTATAATTTTTAGTTCTTTGTTTCCTCCAAAAAATGTTTATGGTTTTTATCTCAGCAGACCTCTCATGTAATCAGAGCATCATTTCTACTTTGAAGGGGCCTATGAGCATCTGCTTGTCATAGAGCTTGGGGAAAGAGTTTTATTTATGTATTTTGTGGTCTATAGTCTTTAGTTCATTTGCAGCACCATTACTTACCTATCTGTGAATCTGGGAAAGTATTTATTTATTTTTAGTTTGAGTACAGTAATACCT